ATGCTTTTAAAGCCTGAGGTCAGAGAAATGTTCTTGCTGCTGCTGATCCAATTAAGATGAAGGTTTTCATACTTGGGTATTTAATCCTGGATTACTCTACGATGCTCAGGAGAAGGAGCAATTGGGTGAAGAGTCAAACTTGTCAAGTTCAGGACATTGTAACTTCCAGCGGGAGAAGGGCTGGAGCTGGTTACAAGCAGTTGCACTGGAAACCCTCTTATTTAGATGAAGACCAGATCAAACCCCATCCCGTCCTCAGGAGAGTCTGTTGGCAGCGTAGCGGTGGATTCATTGCTCACAGATCTCAAAACTTGGCCAAAACACCATGGGTGAGCCTCGTGGATGGGGCTCTGTAGCAATGATCCACTTTTTCCTTATATGAATATGAGGTTATTCTTATGCCAGATACAGAAAAATGAAATCTATAGGATGGACTTAAAAATCTGGGTGAATTTTTGTCCATAACAACAGTTTAGAGATTAAAAGTAGTTTTTGATTGACCAAAAATATTCACAATTTAATTCCTACATAGCAAATTCATTTTGATGGTTTAAAAAAAAAAATCAAAGCATTAAAATTCTTCATTCTGAGACTGGGTGCATTTGAAAAATGAACACATTAAAAATAAGATAAAACTTTCTAAAAAGAAAACAAACTTGCTTTCTTGGCTTGGTAAATACAACCAAGAAGCTTAACTTTATGCAGAAATATAAATTCATTTTTTTTAAAGAGTACTGAAATAAAAAATATCTTCCTTTTCTCTCTCTGTCTTTTTTTTTTTAATATTTTTTTTTCCAAAGTTTAATGTGCAAATACAGACTCCCGATAGTGGATGAATTTTAAAAAAAGAATAAGTGAAAGTCCCTGATCTGTAGAACTCACAGTTCTCTGGAATGGATGCCAACAGTTTTTTAAAACAGCAAGATTAATCTTTGCTATCTAGCTAGCTTCATATACAGTGTCATAACTAAAGTATAACTGTGTTGAATTCCCCATTTCTTGGGAGCACATGCTGAGAACACAAAAGATGCCAGGCACTGTTCTGCCTTACATGCAATTGTGAGCAAAACCTTGAAGAAAATAGAAATATGGCACACAAGAGGATGCAACTTCCAGCTTCTCTGTCCATGCATTCAAGGGCAAGCCCTTGACTCTCACCTTCGAGGTAAATGTATTAGCAAGCAGTAATCCTGTGTCTGTGACTTGCATCCTATGGACAATTAGGGCGGTTAGTAGATGCCGACTAGGAATCTACTGTTAAGATCTTCCTTTAGATCTCACTGCTATCTACATGGTAGAAACCAGCTGGTTTCCCGCCTTGGCAGAAGTTTTCTCGCAACAAGGCAGTGTGTGTTGAGGCCCTGGAGGCTGGTGTCTGCTCTTTGAATCCAGAAAGAAGCACAGGCGAATGTCAGCAGCAATCCAGGCTGAGGGATGTGCAGTTTTTCTTTCCTTTCCCGCCTGTATTGAGACATTTCTTGCCATTCCAAAAAGCTGCTCTTTTATGAAACACAATTTTGTAGTTGCCCAAGTAATTTGCCCAAATTCCCTGGTGCAGATATGCAAGTGGAGTAGAAGACTGAAATCAGTAATGGTACTAGAATAGGTATGTGAGGTGGGAACCTGTGGATGGGGGGTTATGATGCCCCTGCTTGTACCCTGAGCTCACCGATGGGTCAGTAACTCGATGCTCGGAGCTTCTTCACTGAGAACAACGGGTCATGAGTGCTAGCGAGGTCCTGCACGACAACCCTTGGGAATGAGAGGAAGGTTAAATGAATTCCAGGGAGGCTTCCAGAGCAACGGAACAAACCAGGGCAAGCAGCTTCCCAAGCATCAGCCTGGCTATTGAGGGAAATCCACCTCAGATGCGACTCAACCGCCTTCAGTAGGAGCAAGGTGTTTAGCCTCCTAAAGCTAAACTCAAGGATATGGAGACCATACACTGGTGATTTTAACTGACAAGTCACCTTAGTGTTCCTCTGTGCTTGTGAAAATGTTGTGAGAGGGCAAAAATGTGCTTTTTAAATGGAATCACAGATCTTGCTTGCTGGGACTCTAAGTGTACCGGTACAGCAATGAAAGCTCTTCAGTTTCACATTTCATGGCTGTCCCTGTCTGTGCGATGACAAGAGCTGGGGCACGGTGCAAAAACAAAGAAATAAAATAATAAAAAAATCAGATTATCATCACTTGCTTCTGGCATCCAAATCTTTGCCTTATCAGAATGTGTAATGTTGGTCTATGAATGTTCAACGTAATGTTATTTTCAAGATGTTTAAGCCTGATTGGTCCTAATTAACTAAAGCAATGATGGTGTTTCTAGCCTGCCAGATAAAATAAGTACTTATTTTGTACTTATTTGTGCTATTATGTTTTTAGTTCTTAATTCATTTGGATACCGTCCCCAAGCAAGGGGTTTCAGGTTATTAATTTCGTCATTACAAAACCTGATTATCTGAAATCCGACCTGCCTTTGAAATGATATTAAGAGATGTATTTGCTACATACTCTCAGACTTCCCACAGGGCAGGGAAGGACTGGTAATGTCCACTACACGACTTGTCCCTCCCAAGCCTCGAGGATGTTGGCAACTTGCTTCATGTGGAGCGGAGACCCCACAGTGGATGAAAATGTTCTAAACATTTTCTTCCTTATATTTTTATAGGCAAATCTGGGATTGGTTCTGCGAGTATTGGAGGTAGGAATATGCCCTTGGTGATTTTTACCCTGTAAAAGAGGGGGTATTTATGGACCAACCAATTTAACCTGCAGGCGGGTCCTCAAGAAAGCAAGGATGAATTGCTCCTTCCCCTTGCTCTGAAAGGTGTTGGAAGGCGGTCGCTGTAAGGGACTGCAACCTTCCTCCAACACACTTACAGCTGGTACGCATGCACACACACACACACATTCACATGCAGGGTCTCTAGCAGAGAAATTAGGTAAAATAAAACTAAATAAAATAACATTCCTATTCAGTCTCATTGCTGAACTTCTCTCCAAAACAAATCAGAGGTCCTCCAATTAAAAGTTGAAAGCATTGCTTTAAATAACCACCTACAAAACACACAGCCAGGCGCTATGCACCATTATCACAGATGAGCTGGATACAGCAAATGCAGCTATAATGAAAACCAGAAGGATGAATATTGCTTAAAGCAACTCACTTTTATTGACAGAGTACTGTAAGGCAAGGAAAAATGTTTGCCAGATTTTTTAAAAAGAAGATTTGCAGCAAGAATGATTCAGAAAGATCTGCAGTTTAATATATTATTGAAATTCAAATATACTATCTTTTATAAATCCAATATTTATCTTATTGTCATATATACAAAAACTGAACTTAAGCTAACACAAAACAGAACACTAGGATACTGGGTTTGCATATGAGTTTTTGTTGATGTTTCATAATCTAGCCAGTAAAAACAAGAGAGTGTGCACTTTCTGACACACAGATTGCAATTTAGATATGACTTAAATTATACCAAGAAAAGACACAATGAATCCACCAAATACAGACACGTTTGATATTACTATTTTTGAAAAAAAAATCAAAAACATGGTTAACAATACACACAGAACAAAACACTGATAGATGCCAAGAAAGCTGTGTTTTGTGGCCAAAACCAATTTTGCATTTATGGTGAAGGCATCTGTGAAAACAATGATGTATTCTGACCATTCTACAATAACATTTTGGCCAGAAGACATTGTGAAACATTGGCTTTTTGTCAGCTCTTTAAAGTATATATTGTTTAAGTGGTGATATACATTAACTGTGAGCCTCTCACAAGATCTCACATCAGGCCATGTTAGAGCAACCTATCATTTCCATAGGAAACAATGGTAATGGAAAGGTCCCAGCTATACTAAAAAAAACAGTTGGGGGCCTAGCTACAAAATCTACAACCGCTTAGTCCTTCCCTGAGGGAAAGGCAAATCTTTAGCCCACGTATTTAGATGTTAAATACTTAGTAAAATCTTAGTCTTAAATTTTGGAACTAACAAAATGTGTGCTACACTTCTCTCCTGCTTTTTGTTGCTTTTCTTCTCCCCCTTGGTGTCTGTATAGCCTTGGCCTTCCACTGGAAAAAAAATATGAAAGAGATAGATAGCTGCTTTTTGAGTGTAGATAACATAGCACTACTGGTGCTTTAAAAATTAAAAGAATATTAACATATGTTAAAACATAATGCACCTGGATAAAAGGGAGAAATATACTCAACCACAGTCCAGTGTCACGCTCTAGCTTTGCAGGGACAGAGCATGAATAGCAACATGGATAAGTAAAATTCCCTTCTACCTATGCAAACAAAACTGGACAGTATTTTAAAAGTTTTACAATATTACTCTGTAATGAGAACCCTCAACACGCTAATTTTTATCACATAGACAAGAGTAGAGTTATCTCACGACCACACATGGATATGGGACCCAATCAACAGGAGAGTGACACCATAAATATATGTGATTAGCATATGAACAAGGTGATCTAAGAATGAAGCACAAAACATGTTTTTCACGTGGAAGTCTTTTGCTGCATGTGTAAATGCACAGTATTCATGTCCTCTTCTTTTTTTTTCCCTTTTCTGTTTTCTGTATGAAAATCAAGCACTTTGCATAATTAGCCAAAACCCAAAGATATTTACATTTTAAAAGCCAATCCTTCACCTTCTGATTTAAAATGAGTTATTCTGTATCTTGCATATTTTCAAAAAATGTTCAGAAAAAGCTTAGGTTTATAATTCAGAACCTGTATTTTGTAAAAATACTTCCCTTGAACATGAAGTCAGTGCTGACCTCTTCAGGTCATTTGCGAATAATATACTTTTTCTAAAGAAATGTTACTAAATAAGAACTGTGGGAAAACACAAAAAGAAGAAATAAATTATCCTGAAATTGTAAAATGTTGCCATTTCCAAGTAGGTGGAAGGTAGTCCAAGTAGGTTCTTCACAAGGGGAAAAAAACACAGAGCTGTGTATATCAAAATGTGTGAAATCTTTCAAAGTTCTGTCTTTGCTAAAGGCAATATAGTATCTCTGGCTTTATTAGTACTGCTATTGTACACAGGTTTCTTAAAGTACAGTTAATAGCTATAGAGATGAAATCTAACATACAAGTGTTTTTTAGGCTTTATATGGCAGAAGGTAAGCACTTGAAAAATTTTATGACACTGATTTTAAATGAATCATACATCACCTAACAGCATGTTCAATTCTAAACATAGAAAATTAGATTGTATTTGAAGTGGTTGTTGTTGCAATATGACTTATTTTCTTTCTCAGATATCAAGAAGGTCCTCTCCACTCTCATCACTCTCCACCGTTAATTGCCTCGTCCACCACTTCTTGACTTCTGATCCACAAGAAGCAGCATCAGACATGGGATTCATCTTGCATACGACAGACTTCATAGCTGAACGTCCACCAAAGCGGAGGTTGACTGAAGACACTGAATGGCTTATTGGTTTGGGGGCTAGAAAATAAACAGAAAGTTCAGTATTAGAGCGTGTAATATTCTTGAACATTTTAGCTTAGGATTCAGGTATATAGAGCTAGTCGGAGAGCGATAGTTTTAAGCTGATTCAGTGCAGAAACAGTAAGGCTCTATTCAACCATTTTTACGCTCCAGATGTTCATCCTCATTCCCCTTGATCTGCTGGCAGAGCAGTTAAATCGAGCACTGCCTAATCTCCTTCTGTCAAGACAGCTGATGCAGTAGGTTTTTCCTTACTTGGCTAATTGTAATCTAAACATTTTAGGTAGTAAGTGTATGAGCTGATCAACTGGCAAAATAGTTAAAGTGGTAAGTTACAGAAACAAAGAAGGAAAAGAGCATTTGGGGGTGGCAGCTAGATCTAGAAAGTGACATTTCACTATGGCCTACTGATAGAAGTGAGTACAAGATGCTGGTTTTGCTTTAGGAAAGTACTAAAACACAGGTGAAGTTATATGAAAAGTATTATTGCTATTAGTGAGGCTACTTGTTATCTTACATACATGACTTTGCTGGAGTGGGAGCAGAGGCCTCATCCTGTGCTCGTGGTACCCTCTGACAGAGAGGCACCCCTCTGAAGTTGTGCAGCCATGAACTTTCAAGCGGTCAAGATCAGTGCTAGGAAAGGAAACCCTGAAAGCCTCAATTCCACTTGAAAAACCTAGCCAATTGACAACAGTGATATGTTCCCTCTCATACTCTTTGCTCTGGTCCAAAAAATTTTGCCTTTCTTTCCTGTTCAGTGACACTGAGCTAGAACATGTGAATTTAAACCTGTGTAGTAAGTGGTCCCATTGCTTGGACAAGTACTCTGGTCATAAAAGTAGGTTTAAAGTTAACTCACAGCATAACCACCTTCAACTACCACCTATATACAATTAGGGTCTGAACAGTGACAGTCCTTAAAGGCAGCAACCTTCCTCAAAACAGTAACATTACACTCACATCTAGCAGCCAACAAAAAGATTAGGACTGATGAAAGCTGAAAGCAAGTTGATGGGCACATCCACGGGCCCTTTCCAAACACACTGGTCAGGAGATATGGCAGGCAGCAGAGGCCAATGTGCTCTTTAAAGGAAAAAATGTAAGGTGTTGCAAAGTCCTGAGACAAAGCCTGAATGAGGCCTCAGAATTTCCTGTGCACTTCTCTCTCTCTCCAACAAACATTCACCCATAAGACACAGCCTAGCCTTTGTTTTCTAGTGGGTTGTAGTTACAAGGATAACAGGACATTGATTATATACTAGACCAATTCATGGTTGAACTGAAGTTGTACAAATGCATTCTTATATTGTAGATTTATGTTGTACACCTGTACACCTAAGCAAGACAAGGCACTAATGTCTACTGCTGTGAGGAAAAGCTTAATTTACTTCCATTGCACTTTGTGAAACAAAAGTGAATTCTACCTTTACCATATGCTATCCAAACATATGCGAAGGTACAGCCCCCAATCCAAAGATCCCAAGCAGATAGATGAAAAACAAACAAACAAAAAGCACGTGGCAGTGCTTGAGTATATCTTCCAGACCTTCAGAGGTGGGAGGCAGGTGACTGCTGTATTGCAAGACGTGTAAGGGTAGAGAAATGCTGATGTGGGTGCCAGCAGTAGGCAGAATGCAGCACCATAAACCCTGGAGCCTCTCCCCGGATGAGTGTCTTACTGAGTGTCTGTCTCTAGTGCATGGAGCTTTGTAAAGGTCTTGTTGAGCACCGCAGTGATTTGGTATTACTGCTACCCACTCTTCACTTACCCGATGGCAAACGCCACTGTCCAAATTTCCGCTGAGGTTTCCCAGCATCTCCAGCATCTTGTCGGTATCCACCTCTGTCAGAAAGGGTGGGACTGAGAAGCTGCTGTTGGCTACTTGTCTGAGTTGAGAAAAAGGAATCTCAGTTATAGGTCTCCATTGCATGGTCTGCCTAAGAAGGCTTATCTAGCCTTTCTATTCTATTTACAGATTTCCTACACAAACACAAGCAAAATATGTTGTCATTTCTTGGGGCAGCATGGGTTTTGTCATTTACTACCTCAAAAGTCTACAACTAACAGAAAAAAAATTATTTTGTTATTTGATCTCCCTTCCATTATGCAATCTTATGAAAATTGTTCCTTTTACAGCAGAGTGCTTATCCTGTACCTGCATTTCCTGCTCTGCAAGAGCTCTGGTCCCCAGTCCCAGGACCCAGCATGCCCAATGTTATCATTCCTAGTGTACGGACTACTCCAAAATCCTTGAATAGCAAAACGTCAAATCCTGAGCCTGCACAGAGCTTGTATTAAGAGCTGAAAGTTAGTGTTGCTGGAGGCATACAGATGAGTTTGCCCACTATGATGCTGGCGAGGCAACAAACTAAGCTGAAGAATAATTAGATTTGACCAGCTTGCCTTTAAATCTGGATGGAAAGATGCAACAAAACATTACTTCCAACTTCTCCAGAGAAAACTTGGAAAATTTACAAAAATAAATAGGAATCTTTAAACTTGCTTAGTAGCTGACAGTTAGCATCCCCAGTAATTTTTGCAGGACTTACCTCTGGCTGTGCACTATTATCCTGATTAACAGCATTCACATCTTCACTTGGCTGCGTTGTCTCAATGCTGGGGGGATTCAGAAATCGGCTCAGCTCTTGCTGTTGACTCTCTCGTAGACTATGGATAATGCTGCATGACTGCTGTTGTTTCTGTCAAGGTACAATGTGTATGTGATAATAAATAAGAAAATTGTTCTTATTTCTCAATGTTAGATGCTTTTAAAGCCTTCTAAATATTTAACCAAATAGTGAGTGCCAGATGTGGATTCCAGGTGAACAGATAAAACTCCTTATATGAGATGGTTGCTACTTAAATAACATGAACTCCACTGTATGGCAAGCCTTTATGTTGGAACTGAAGTGCCATTCTTATAAATTACATAAAGTGGAAGCCAGATTCCTCTGAACAATTTGGAGTTTAAAAATAGATAAATCACTGAATTTGTGAGTCAGGAGTTAATAGAAGGATGCAGAAAGAAGGAGGCTGATACAGACTCACTAAGAATCAATGCGAAAGCAATGAAAAAAATCTGATTGTTTTCATGGCTCTGTGAACAAGCTGAATAAATGAGACTGAATAAAACACTAGTGGAAACCTCAGGAATAAGAAGGACCTACAGTACAAATAGAAAAACAAACCCACTATCATTATGATCTTACAGTGTAATTTACTTTTAAAATAAAATAAACAGTCCTCAGGAAGGGTTTCACTTTCCTGAGTGGCTTTCATATGCTCTCTCTCTAGTGACTAACAAGAGAATTTGAAAATATATATTAATTTCCATAATTATATCCAGTTTGTAAAGGGTTCACAGAATGTGAAATGATCTGACCATATTATTAGAATGAAATGAACAGCATATTTACTTTAACATAGTGTAATTCAATATCATAATGAAACGAACAACTGAGTGGAATGAACCCAAAATTGAGAGCTAAGATTAAATTTACTGACATTATTATTATACAGATGGGACCAAAATGAACTGTTTATCTCTATAGGCCTTGAAAGCTGATGTTTCAGATAAAATGAGCATTATATTCAAGTTGTCGAGTTATGTTTTTATTAATCTACAAACAGAAAAAGCCAGATCCTATGTGAATAGATCTCAATGTGAAAATCTCCACATATGGAAAGTAGGTCTTTACAAAAATCCAAATACCTGGACTCAATGTTAGAGTAATTGCAAAGTCACCTATGAAGGCAGCCTGAATATATATACACATATATATGTTATACGAGGGAAGAGAAGAGTTGTCTTTTGGAAAGAGGAACAAAACAACTGCAAAGGCCATTCCAAATTCTCTGCTTGGCTTTGTATCAAAAACCTCTCAGGGAACCTTTTTTTCCCCCTGAATGTTCTCAATATAAATTCCATCTAGGACAACCTTTGACCACCAAATATTGCAGCTATCCCAAGTAAAGCCAGTTTTTTTTCAGACAACCTGAAGCACTGAGTAAGCGCAATACCGATGCCCTTAGTAGCAAACTGAGTGGATCGGGACACTTCCTGCCGTGCTGAAGCCAACTGGCAGGTCGAGGCTTGCATGAAAAGGCTGTCCTCTCCTCTAGCACAGAACAAAACAGTACAAATGCCTACTAAGGGCAGGTTCTACTCATACTTGCCCTAATTGTGCCAGGATGGCAATGTTTGGGGAGAGTATGAGTATATATGGGCCAAAACTATGCCAAGTAAGGTGTTAACAATGAATGCATGTGATCCCATGGTTCATTCATCCTCATATGGGTTGCATTTGAAGAGCCTCTGGGAAATAACACATGCTCACGCATTCTGCTTGTTCTGCAGCCACAGGATCTGCCTAATCATGGTGTCTTGTGCCAATGGAGATAAAGAAATTATGAATTTTATTCAGTGAATACACAGGATTAGGCCTAAAAAGTATCAGCAAATTATATCATTTTCAGTTTATTCCTTTTCACTGACATCTTCTGGCTGTATTGTGAAAAGGGCAATTTTTGGCAGGAGGACAGCCTTTGCCTTCAAAAGATGCTTATTTTTTCTATCTCTTTGAACTGAGTTGTCATACTTCCTGATGACCCAGCAACTGCTATCTACATGTCCATATACATGCTACAGAAATGCCAGAATTAATTCAGTGTAGTGAGGGCACATTCCAGCTTTGTTGGTCAATACAATTGACCACAAGCATTTAGCTTGACTTACTGCTCTGATTCGCTTTAAACATTTCTTCAGCCACATGCGTATGGTCTGTTTGGCCACCTCCTCTTCTATGGTGTATTCTAGCTGTTCCCTAGCCAGCAGCTCTTCCAGTTGAAGACTTTTTCTGATATCAACAGACCTATATGAAAGCATGCTGGAAGAAAAATTGATATTTTGTTCTTTTAAATGCTGATGACCCTACATTCTAGTGTAAAAAAATCAAAGCTCATAAATACATAAAAATTCAACACAAAAATATTTAAATCAGACATGTGCAATGTAGCTATGATTCCCGAAGAGATCTGTGGTATGCACACCAAATAAAGATCTTCTCACTTACATCTAGGTACCCAGTGTAGGTGAGTTCCTAAAATGTAGGTTATTCATGATTTTTGTTTATTTTCTTAAATGTCTAACCTTGGATGATGTTCCTGCTTCTATTTTACTTTTTAGTCATATTCACCGTCAAGTTAATACTATTATTATTATATATTAATACTTAAAATAGCAGTGCCTCTGTGGCTGCCATTTTTGCTTTTTCCCAAGCATTAGGAATACCCTCTAGCCTAGGGAGAAATACAGGGCACTATTCCTGCTATACAAATTCAGAGAAAATCTCACAGTACCTCAGCACATCATGGAAGGTGACGTCGCCACCGTTATGGAGCCGCTCCATTTCATAGCACATGTGCTTGAACAGCAGCTTGTCCTTGTCAAGATCCACCTCCAGCCGGCCACGCAGAAGCCTCAGCAGAAATTTAACTCGGAAGGTAGGGATCACTCCCTGGATAAAATTGCATAAAGGCTGGTTACTTATTACTGTGACCTAACAACCAACTCGGGCAGTCTATTAGATCAGTGAGAAAAATACTCTTTCTCTAAATATTATTTCTCTTCATCAAACCCTAGCCTATGTAAGCCAATGGGAATGCATTGCTAAAGAATAGACACATGCAGCTAACTCTTTGGCACATGTAGATCAGTCATCACTCATGCAAGTCTTTGCTCTTATTTGGATGACATGAGAATTTGTGCTGCTCATTTTGTCAGAGATTTTCAAAATTGCTTTGGAGATGTGGCTTCCTCATTTGCATTAATTTGTAAGGAGGATAACATGCCTAAATGGCTGCCTTCGAAAAGCTGAAAGGAAACTACAGTGTAAACTTTCAGAGTGAGGCCTATTGCTTGCTGCACAACTGCCCCTGTCCACACGGGTCATGGGAAAGGTAGTTCACACTGGTAGTTCACCAACTTCTCAAAGATCTGCTGCTCTACGATTCAACCTAGCACATATCATATTTGCTACATCAATGATTCTGAACTGCTGTTAACACATTAGAAGTGATTTTCCTCCAAAACAGCAGTATCTAGGCTCTTTAATTATTTTGTTCTGCTAAATGAGCCTCATTGGAACTGTTTTTTCCTGTAATGTGTTCTGTCTCTGAGAGAGAGGCTGTCAGCCCTGGGCATACTGGCAGATGCAGAGCTCTCCACCTCTGCCAGTAAGGACTGTGACTTCTGGCTCCAGCACAGCTACAGCATCTCTCATATTGAGAACTTAGTGATACCATGAATTATTCAGCTTTGGCTCATGTGGGTATCTGAGCAGCTCACTCTCCCGGGTGCTCTTCTCATCGCAGTGAAGCACTTTTGATTAGATCAGATAGATACACACATGCACATGAGTCTATCGACTGGTGGATAAAGAAACTGTTTTGGGGAGGTGGGAGGAAAGGTGCTATGGAACTGGTTCTATAAACACTTATATTTGTTTTCAAATTTACTATCATGTGTACTTTATGCTACCTGGTAAACAGTACAAGTTAGCATTTGAAGGATCATGAACAACATTAGATCATGTTTAATGAACTTTAAGAACCTGGACAGATGTCTAAAATCACAGAGAAAACATCCCAAACCACTAATAGCTCAAGTTTTGTCAACATCCTCTGTGTTTTCCTAGACTTATTTTTTTTCAAGGAAAAATGTAGATTTACTGGATTAACTGTGTTCATTTTCAACCTCTTACCTATCTTTTGTCATCCACCTTACCTCTCTTTTGTCATCAACCATGTTCCATATGATTTGAAAATGTCTAAGATCATTATAACTTAAAAGTTGGTCTTCTTCAGTTGAATAAAACAACGAGAAATTCTCCACAATGATAGCTAAAAGCCACAAAATGAAAATTTAGTGTAAAGAAAGTCCATAGCTAAATTCAAAGAGTTGAACCCTTGTAAACAACAAAGTATTTCAACAGAATATGAATTCAGATGTGCAAAATTCACACCACTAAACTCCTTTAGCTGAATTTTGAGATGAGAATTTTGAATGGGGAAAAAGGAATTTTGAAATTCAGAAGTTACCCCTTTAAATGCTCGTGAGATGACTAATCTAACATCTTCTAAAATCAATTTGAAGAGTTCTACTGCTGTTGGAAAAACATCAACCAGAGGACAGAAAAACCCAGAAAATATTATCCCTTGGGGTAATTATAGCCTACAAATTTAAGGTTTCTGAAAAACCTTTTGTGCTCAAACTTCCTAAGTTTTAGCATATCTCATGCAAGAGAAGTGTGAAAAATATCATCAGGTAAAAGTGAAACTAGTGGGTAATCTCATACCTGAATATAACAGTTATCTGTCAAATCACACAAATCTAATATCCTACACACCAAGATGGACACTTTTATTATTATTATATTTTTTTTTTACTTACCAACAAGCAAATTTAGCATGATGTATGCAATGATGACATAAAATGAACAGAAGTACATAAGAGCACCAGCATAATTTCCACAGTCCGTTTTCCAGTAGGTGCTGTTGTCTGGTGTACAGAATGGAGGCTGGACCTTCAAAGCAAAATAAAAACGTCAGTCAACCACAGAAGAAGATTCTTTATTTCACTACAAACAATGTAGATGATAAATAAATGTAAATGTAACTTTGAATGAATGTAATTTTTGAATGCTTCAAAATTTAGTAATAATGCTGACTATCAGATTAGGGGAACATTTCCCTTTCACAGAAAAGGAGGTAAGATTTTTTTCATATGTTCTTAAGGGGAGTTTGTTGTTGATCCTTTAGTAGATGAAAGCAGAGAAAGGCATGAAATGCCTAGGCATACCTCTCACTACCACACACAGGGCACTGAAATGTGGTGGTTTTCAAAAAACTTGATGGAATAATATGATTTTCATTGCAACTGAAACCATGGGCAGAAATTTATCTAGGCAAGGAAAAATGATTTTAAGACAAATTTTGAAGTCATTAAAACTAGCATTCTCTTGGCCCTGGACAGCCATTGAAGACAAAGGTCATCTGAAAAATCACCTTTTCGCAGTCAAAGTAGAGTTAACAGTGGAAAGGTGAGTTATTGCATTTCTGATTTTGAACACCTATTTTTACTTTTATTATTTCTATATCTTTTTAAATAACAGAATATGTGATTCCATGACTACAATTTCTGTGTCAGGTTACGAAGTTTAGTGAACATCTTATCTCTTGAAGAGATAAAGGCAATCAACATTCCTTGTACTAAGCTAACAGAATGGAAACACACTGTAAGTGTCACCTGTTCCTCGCCTACTTTAGCTGTGGTAGTATTATATTTACCATGCAGTCATGCATAATTTTGTTCCAGTCTTCTCCAGTAACTATTCTGAAGAGTACAGTAATAGCCTTGCCAGCTGATGAAAAATTTGCATGTCTGTTTTAAACAAAAAAAAAGAGAGAGAGAGAATTTCATGTCTTGGAAATAAAATGTTGGCAAGAAAAAAAACCACAGATCATTTCTATTTTCTACTTTCTTACTATTTTTAACTGAAATTAGGTACAGCACTGGATGAATAATTTCTGAATAAGATCAAGTATGAACTTCTATCTAGCAGAATCTGAGTTTTCTGGCTTTTTAAAGAACATCTCCATGAGCTAGTACATACTGTACCTGTTAATGTTTTCTCCATATTTCACAGTACCAAATAAAACTACTCCAGCAAAAGCATAACAAAGAAGTAGTAAGAACATTCCCACTATGATGAAGAAACTCTTGTACATACTGACAACTACTGTCAGGAGCAGCATTTTTAGTGTCACCTGGAAGGACAGAGAAAAAGCAAGCCATGATGTCATTCAGAAGAGCAGAGATGAAAGTGAACAGAGAGTTACTGCGCTTGTCATTTTGGCAACACTTTCCACTTAAGTTAATGGATGAACCCAGGGAAACAGGACATTCTGAGTCTGATTGAATCTGAACATTTTGCTCAGAACTTTCATGAACTTTCATGAAATCAGCCCATTCATCTGATTTGCAAGATCAGGATGTTGCTTCCCAAAGGTTATGTTTAGGCTAATACAGCAATAATACAGCATAATCATAACTCTAATGTTTTAGGATCTGCACATTGTAGAAGTATCAAAATTAGCATTATACAAACACTGTTGCAGAAAGCTCCTTTTTCTGGAAATAATGCAAACTGTTAGGCAGAAACCATAGTAACTGCAGCCCACCTGAAGAAATGGGTCAAAGTACAAGGAAAGGGATTTCCTTAAAATCAGCACAGATTGATTGAACAAGTTAATTTTTCACACAGGTGGCTAGAGAGCTTAAGAAGGCAGTGTAATTCTAGATATTACATAGGAAATGGGTTTGGATAATAGATATTTCTTTCGCACAAAGGCAAACTATGCATTTTGCTCTTGATAAAGTTATTGCCCTAGATTTAATGCCCTAAACCATTTTGGAGGCTATAGAAAATTTCCCTTAATGGGACCGAGGGTAGCACTTTTCTTTAAAAAACTGGCAACTCATGCTGACTTTTAGCCATCACGTTGCATCACAGCAGAAAAATGCAGCTCCTAACATGAAAGCATAAATGACTAGGTTAAAACCTCAAAAAAACTTCAGAATCCATCAGAAAGCTTTGAAGGCAATCACTTGGTCTGACTGCATAGGAGAAGCAAGGATTCTTCATTTGATTTCCAAGGCCTTATGTAGTCTGATTGACGAAAAACTTTTTATCTTCACTGAACAAACCCTCTGAGTTACCTGTTCTTAACCCCTGTGCCCTACTATACCAATCTTATCACATTTACTTTAATATGTCAGACTTCACAGAAAATGTTTGGATAATCTAAGAACTTCTACAGAGAGAGAATTGCGTGTTATACAAATGTGTTTGTTCTCTGCCCATACTTATTCTGCCAGTCTATTTCTACTAACACAAGTGCAAATTCAAACACAGAAAAAATGTAAATTTTAGAAATGAGTTGCTTTGTACCCACCCAGTGTTTGCAGAAGAATGTTTTTGCCAATGTTTTTTTAACTGAACACACATCCTGTACTTTGATAAGACATAAACTGCTAGAGCACAAGACAGACCAGCACTGTGGGGGAAGAAATTTCTACATTGCAATAGCATCATATCACGATGAGGGCATCATCCACCGCTCACTCCACTTGTAACTTTCACATCACATCACACTGAAGGCAGTACAACATATGTTCAGAGTTTGAGAGAGCACTTTTTTGTTGTAGTTGTTTGGTACTGCAGTGATTTTTTTTCTTTTTTTTGCAAGAAGTTCAGCTTTTCTAGTAACTGTAGCGTGGCATTATTATAGAATGCACCTAAACCTCTGATACTTTAATGGCAGGATGGAAAATTGAAGACAACTACTCTAAGCCTTCCCTTTTTTTTCTGGCATATAAAATGCAGCCTTACAGAATGTGCAGCAGAGAAGAAAAGCAACTACACCCTCAATCTATATACGAGCACTGCAATGGTTGTAGTTCCTAATTTGTACTTACATGCTTCCCACAAATTGAGAAAAACCTGAAGACAATTACACACGCACCCATCATGTATGTGTATGCATTCTGGAAAGGAAGTACAAAAGACTTAATGCATTGTCCCCCAGTGACCTCATAGCAAAAACAGCTTAAACAGCCTTTAAATAATGGAAGGCAGTCAGCATTTGAAATGAGAGAGTCCACAAACTAGTAGCACCAATATTTCTATTGCATTTCAATAACAACAGAGCAATTAGAAAATAATAAAAGAAACTCTACCATGTCAAAAACACTAACTCAGTCTCTCCATGCATCAAACCAAACCCTCGACCCCCCATCAGCTATCCTGAAATAAAGTCCCAACTTCTTGAATTAAACAAAGCCCTACAACCAAAATCAGTGGCCCAGAATCAGTGCTGGGGTTGGGACAGATTGTATCATTCAGCAGTTTTGAACCATTCCTTTCTTCCAGCCCTTTGCTCCTGTCTGGATTCTGTGCCTTGTTCCTGTTTCCTTGCTGCTCATTAGATTCTAGTCTCTTCAGCTGCCTTCTATTCCTTATTCACATTCCTTGTTAAGGCCTCATTTTTCTACATTTACAGACTTTACCTCATATCAATCAGAGAACTTTTATATATCATCTTTGCAAAAAGAGGATTCTTTCTTAACATCAAGATTATTTTGTTTTATTCATATTTCCATAATACTCCCAAGGGTATACCTCAATGTAGTGTAGTGGTGCCCCCACTGCTGGTACTTAAAAAATAAAATCAAGCTCAATGATGCTCTGTAAATCTTACCAGCAAGGCAAAGTGAAGTATCACCCATATAACTCCTAGAGATGTCACCAAGAGATCGTAGCGATTTCTTCTGCTTTGCCAGAAGCCAGAAGGTGACATGGCAATAATCTTCATTGTTACCTATAGATAAAGACAATGTCTCAGTTGTACTGAGGAAATGGTTATTTCTCACTAAGAGATCCTCTTCTATACTCTGAAGTGTTTGACTGAGTTCATCTTATGAAATGGTTTCAAATGGTCACGGGTAGGTTTCATCTCATCTAATAGTTCCCATGCGGACAAGTTGAGTGCCTAGACCAAGCTGATCAAATAAGCTCCCCTTAGATGGAGGAGCACTGGCACTTGTGCAAGACTACAGAGGACCAAGACTGAGGGATGAACAGTATTCTGGAAGTGTCCCTCTATCCATCAACCATTGAAGGACTGCAGCTGATTTAGATCAGATGCTTAATGTGTAGATTATTGAGGTAAATGTGGGTGTAAAATTTCTTAAGAGTTGAGCAAGTCATGAAGTCAGAAAATGATTATGATTACAATATGTTGCTAAAAGAGGCAGTAATATCCTATCTATCCATCCATTTATCTAATCAGGCTAAAATCACATAAACACATTAAACCCAAGCTGAATTTCAAATTATTTAGAAAGCATTCTCATATTGCAAATATTCCTTGCTTTAAGTATAGGACCATCGATATTCAGCGCCATTTAAGAACAGCTAAGAAGAGTAAAGGCAGTATATTTCACAATATTCTCGGTAAAAACATCAAACAAAAGCTTGAAATTTCCAGTGCAGAACACTGGTGTAGGATACTACACTACTATCCCACTGGTTGGTGGTGTAGGCAGGAAGCTTAAGAGTAGATACTGATAAGAAACAGTCACATAAACTGAGGTAGGCTTATGGACGTACAACAGATGCAAAAGAGAGTATCTATCTATCTCGTGCAAGGTTCATATCAAAGCAGTTAAAGGGTTACTACATAAAGACAACAGCTGCAGGGCTTTCATTATGGTTTTTTAGTTCATTCCAGCTTGCAACATTGCTATTTAGCAAAAAAACAAAACAAAACAAAACAAAACAACAACAACAACAAAAATAGTTTGAGGCAAAAGTTTGACATTTCAGTCAGTTAATTTGCCTTGTAATATTTTCTGAAGCTTTGCTACAAAGTGAAGAATACAGTCAGGAATTCTTACATCCCACATAGAGCCTTGGGCTTAGTTCAGGTGCTCACAAGTAGCCATTTGTCTAAACACACAGAAATAATTTCTTCACATCTAATTATCTTTTGAGGTACTCCAGGGTATCCTGCTTCACCTCTATCCGATCAGTTGAGAAACCCTTGAATATCTGAGAGATCTGCATAGGGCTGGCAGGGATGACACAAGATTGGCAAAGCACCGTTCTCCTCCAGCAGCTGTTGGACATAAGGGTCGATAAACTAGGATATCTAAAATAGTCTCTGATGCCTTCAGTTGGTTAGGCAGTTGAATCCCACCCTACATCACCCTTGATATCAGCGGGAGCTTAAACATCTATTTCATGTAGGACTTATGCACCTACATTTAGGTGTCTGTATTCTTGAACTGAATACAATATCTCGCAATTACAAAATTACATCTCACACTATTTTTCCACATCAATGCTGTGACACAAATGTGAGATCTCTCCCTATTCTTCTACACTAATATTATTCTTTTGTACCACATACACTAAAGTGAGCAGTAGAGGTTTAAGACTGAACTACGATTCTTTAGACTGGACTCAGTGTCACCTTTAGCTTTGCAGATAGGTTTGGGCCTCTCAAATACCATGTCTACTGCAGGTTAACATGAATTAGGGAATATCCTAGGCAGGAAGCTGCATATATGAAGCTGCTAAGCTGCAGGATTTCACCTGGCAGATCTCTGCTATAAACTGTCCTAGAGAATTTATTTCAGTGAATGTATTTCAGTGAATGTAGGAATTTATTTCAGTGAATGTAGGAGGTACTTATGAGCAGCAGGTGTGGTCTCCAAATCCCTCTCGGATGACAAGATTAAGGTTAAAATACAGACAGAAAAACATAAGTAAATTCTATAAAGGAGTAAAATGCCATAAAAGTCTCTGTCTACCAAAGTTGTTATGTCCTGTAAAAACTGTTGTTCTTAGGAACACATAGACGATAATTCAGGTGACTGCTAAACCATTTTATCTGCAAATACTTCTATAATGAGACTTGGTTTTAGATAAAAATCATGAGAATTTTTCTGTATAATTCAATTTACTTTTCCTTCCTTTCTCCATAAGTTGTGTGCACTCAAAATGTCACAACTTGCCTATTGAGAGAGTCAACATTTTTTTCTTGGATCTGACACAGTTCCTTTTAAATTCTGCAAGAGAATTTGTTTGTGAAGCGGGTTTTTTAAAGACATAGGTCTTTATCAGGTAAATTAAAACCTGTCTATTTATGATACAAATCAGACTTTTCTGCTTTCTTCCCTCTCTCAAGAGATATTGATTTCTCCTGGGTAGAGAAAAAAGAAGCAACCACATGGACAGATTCTTTCTACAGCTGCTACAGGGTATTCACTTCATTGTTTATTCATCACTGCTGGCAAAACCTATCACTGGAACATAGGAACTGTCATATTGGATTAAGGCAGTGGGAAATCTAGCCTACTGCCCTGTTTATGATAGTGGTCAGTATCAACTATTCAGTGGGGACTGAAAGAAAACTCAACCACAAACTTATAAAAGAATTATGTAGTAGTCTAACCACAGAGGAAGTGTCTTCTTTAACCTCATAAGTGTGTGCTCTGTTAAACTACGATATCCTTAGCCATACGCAATTTTTAAAACCATTTTAAGATGCATTTAAGTCCTCAGATTTAAGCCTAATGAAACCAGGTTAATTACACCTTGCACAGCTGACTGTGGTGGCAATGTTTTCTCATAGACAGATAACAGTTACCACACGGAATCCAGATTTGCACAATGGAAGACAGAAAGTAATTGAATTTTACATACCTTATTAAAAGGTATTAAATGAAATCATATGATTGATAATTAAAAAAAAAGAATAAAAAATGCTTAATTTTGTTGATATCTCAGTAACAGAACAGTGGCTCCTAGTGCACTCTATTCTAAATAGAGTAAGCAAAATCTATATGGAAGCGGAGCCTCTATGACAGACAAACCCTGTGCTATATAGAGTGAATTTAACCCTGGGCCTTCTGTAAAAAAGGCTTCACTGATTTGTCCCCTCTACTAGGACAAAATTGTAAGTTGCAGTGACCAGGACACAAAACTCAAGGTGGTAGAGCACTACTACAAGTGAAAATTTATTCCTTCAATACCTATTTAGGTAACATAGAGAATCCCCAAAGTATATATTCTGGAATAAAAGCTATAGTGAGGAAGATTACATTCCTAAAGTCAAAAGGAATCACATAAAAGCTATTCTTAATCTCAAGAAATTATGAAATATGTTACCTTACCTCAAGGACAAAAATGAAGGTGAAAACCACAGACATTGTTGCTAAAGGAACAGTCACGGGATCTGCAGCATCCCACTGAAACACAAACAAAATGAGCTGACAGAAGAGCAGTAGTTAAACAGAATTAAATGTCTAATCATTTCCTTTATTAATGCACAGATTTCATTTTAAAATATATTCACGTAGGTATGGCATCTTGGTTTGTACTTCCCAAATGGTGTTAAACTGGAGTGGTTGAGGCTATCAAAAGGCAGAAATTGACTCAGTTCTACATGTTACAACTGATTTATAGTGATTTGTGCCAATGGCAACAGCTGTATCGGGAAATCATACTTTTCCCTACATTCATCATCGTAATGGCTCAATTGAAATTTTATCGGTTTTAGAAAATATGCAACACATGTACTACTGCTATAATAAAATGCTTAAAAGAAACACCATTACCTTAACTGACAGTAATACAGATTGGGCCAGGACAAGTACAGCAATAGTTCTCTTAAAAAATGGATGCTGAGTTATATCATACATCTTGGCTCTAAAGCCATCATTATCTGAAAGAGTTAAAGGAGAAGAGTTAAAATATACAGTGGTATTTTCTCTGTTTCTTGACATATTTTCCATGTTCATTAATGGCAACATAATCCTTGACCAGTTTCGAAATACATTTCTAATTTTCTGCTACAATTTCCCATATCAAATAGGGCTTCTGAACATGTAATTTCAAATACTGAACATCAGTGTTGCATGAAAGCTTTTGGTACTTGTAGGGCAAGTGCATCATTCAACTGCTGTCAGGTTAATGCATTCCATTCATATCATTAAGAGCCAACTGCAAATATATTTCATTTAAAAATTCATTTTTTCATTAAGGCTTATCCTAAAACCATCGAAGCACAACCTTTTTTTGGGTTGATTTTAATAGCCTTATGCAGAGATCTGTAGTTGGAGCCTGTTTCCACATTAACTTATGCACAACCTCCTAGTGGCCTCACGATTACAATTTTAATTTGAATCTTAGACTCCTGGGGAATTATGATCACTAGGGCTCAACATGAATAAAATCAAAATATCTTTGATACCCGGGCGAGGTGGGAGATGAAGAGGTTGTGCTATCTTCAGTCTGCTTTTCAGATCTTCCCATCGCCTCTGATCTACAGTCAGCAAAGCTGTCCCCTTAATAAACAAAGAGAAGCGTAGAAAGCTTTTGTCATATAAAAGCTAAAAAATTTAAACGCTGTAAACATGAAAACAACCTCCTCTTTGCTGTTTCATAGGCAACTCTCCTTAAATATCACTCTGTTTGGGGAAAGAAGTCAAAGTATGAGCCTGGGAAGGATTTCCGTCCGCATTAGCTGTGAGTGCCGGGGCCTCAGCGCAGCGGGCGCGCTTGCTGCTCTTGCAGCAGCAGCCCCGTGTGGGCAGGGAAGCACTGCAGGAGGGCTTCCATGCCGCTGAACATCGTTTGCCAGGAAGCACTGCTTTAAAGAGCGGCTGATTTTATCTGGACTTGGCTGCAGAATGTCCTGTGGCTTGTGAGCGCTGCCGCCGTTCCTCTGGGAAGAAGCCCTGCAGGAGGCTGCTGCAGCTCGCCACACCTCTCGTGTGTGGTGTACACGTGAAGAAATATAACCATATGCTACGCATCTACCACAGGTTTTCACCAAGGAGAAGTGGGGATATGCCTCTAGCATAGGGAAAACCAAGCAAAACAAAAAGTTTAACATTATTTACACATTCAACATTATTTAGAATGATCTTCAAAGCACAGTAATGTCCTCATCACCTCAGAGAACTGTAAAACCTCCTGGAAAGAGCCTGGAGTTCTAAAAACAAGGGAGACCTTTTCAAGGGAAACGCCATCAGTTTGTCTCCAGGCACTGCATGCTTCTCCAATGGGCGAGGGGGGCACAAAGCTGGGTGAGGGGTGGGCTCCTCTCCAGCACTTGCCTTTGCATTGGTTTGTGTAGGAAAAAATGCTACTGATAAGGTCAGTAATGCCCCTACCATGATGGACATCATCGATTTCTTAAAGAGAAAAGGTAGCAAAAAAAAAGTAGAACTTCATAGGATTTATAAACAGGATAGGATTTATAAACTCTTCTAACATTGTGGCATTCCTCAAAACCAAAATTTTAGTTTTTAGACAACTGTTGGCTGCCATGTGCAACTCCTTCCTCCCTCACTTCCTAGAACTATTCAACTATGCATCAGCCAGGAACTTTCTAAAGCCAGCATCTCCTTAAGGGCTCAATAGCTTGGCCAGGTAATTAGTTTTAAGAGGATTCCTCTTAACCTCAGACATGAAACTGTTTTGATACATTTTTTTTGACTAATTGCTAACCCTCTCCATATCTTATTTCACATTTTTGGCAGTTCCTGAATATTACTTCACTCTATTTGGATGTTGGTCACATTCACTTTTTTTTCTTCTGTATAATTAGCTATCCACTTAATGCTTTCAATTTATTCCTAGATGTTTTCTTTCCCCAATAGTAGATAAATATATAAAATTAACAGAAATTCAAGAAATAGAGAGAAAAAAAATTACATGCAACAGCATGAGGTTAGTAAGAAGCAACTGCAGAAGAGAAAATAGATGATATTTTTCATGAATGATTTATCCTGAGTGTATTGATAGTACGTGTAAATTATATAGAAATATTGCAGGATGTACCCGTTCAGTGCAGGAACTGTTATTAGTGAGCATTTTTTCTGATGTGCAGTCTAAAGTTTGCTCTGTATTCAGTAAAGAATTGAGGGAATAGAGCATTCATATCTGAAACTGTGGTCACAGTCGGGGAAAAAATACAAGCAGAGACAATCATCTCAAAATGATAAATACAGAAATAAGATAATTTTCTGAAAATAATGGGAACTCTAATTCAGGCCCTAGACCTCAGACTTCCACATTGATACTGGCAATTCATGCAGGAGCAATTTGTGCTAAGATAAATTGCTTAATTATCTCCTGAGCTCACACTACTTGTAAGCTCAGTGTTCCCAGCTTCCTGCTCCCTCTCATTTTGAACTGTAGTGAACATAAATAAACTTTTACTTTCCACATGAGTTTGAGCTCTCCTGTGTCTTTAAAGATGAAAATCCAGGAAGGCAGAATGAAATATGAGTCTGATATACATTCGCATATAATTATAGGCTTTTCCCCCGAGTTAATCTTCATATTTCTAATCCTAAAATTAAAACACGGGTGAAAGACTTACTTACATTGAGTTTTTGAATAAACTATTTCAGAAGTAACCTGGGGGCTGGCTCAGAGCATCTCAGTCCAGCCTACCATTGAAAAAGGATGAATAGAGTGTTAGGAATTAAAGATATTTCAGTCATGTCTGAAAGAAATCTCACAGCATGTTTTTGCAGAAGGCAGGCTGAACTTAACCTTGAGAGTGACTCCTATGGAAAGAGAGGGAGGAGAGAGCAATAACACAGGGTAGGAGATTGACAGCAGTACTATAAAAAAAAACAATAAAAGCGATCCTGTAAAGCATCTAGCTTCTCCACCACTTTTCTATTTTTTTCTTTTCTTTGTCTTGTTTTTTTCTGCAGCAATGTCCACAGGTAGATGCCTGTCTGTGTACTGAGGCGATCCTAAGGAGCAAGTGGTTCCTGATAACTCTCAATTTCCCATAGACCTGGGCTAGAATCCATGACAGATACATGCCAGGCCACAGACAACCCTAAGGGGAAAATATACCACATTCTTGCACTCAACACCACATGCACCACATCTCACCAAGGTAAAAGATAGAAGTTTGATCAAAAGGTATTCAAGAGAGAATTCTGCAGTGTGACATTTCTTCTAACATAGACACTCATGTCCAGGAAGGCGTTTCTGAAGAGATTTACTCATGTAAAAAGTGTTAACAGGCCATGAAAACGTCCTTTATAAGACAGAAGCACTCAGTTTATCTCAAGAGGGTGTTATGTACCTAACAGAAACATATATAACTAAATATATCATACAGATACAATAAAAGGAAGACTTTCCTTTAATGTTTTAATGAACTATAATTTTAAATAACTATAATTTAAATAAAATGGCTTTTTTTGGAGTCTTGCTGAAAAAGGTATACATTCTATGCATTTTAACTGCACTTATAAAAAAGAGAAACTGGAATCATGCAAACATAACAACGCTTTCTCAATAGTACAGTCTGTAGGCTGCAGTCTTTATCTAATTCATTGATTAGTCTTTATTTGACTCATTTCTTTCTTGACTCTAATGCATGATGCCTTCCTTGCCCACCCTGGACACATGCTAATTTGTTGCCCAGCTCCATTCCTGAATGAGCCAAGTGACTTGCTTGAAAGACACACTTGACAGTGTCTGCTGCAGAGGTAAGTTGTGCATGGTAGGGCCATGGTAGGGCATGCAGTTTGGCTCCAGCATTGGCCTACCAGGATGTCTTGCACCCCAAACCCCAGAGCACACAACCACCCTTTCCCTCCAGTGTGATGAGTGATAGAAATACCAATCTAGCTAGCTGTAGAACAGATATCTCATATTTTGGTGCATTTTGAAAAGAAAGATCATAAAAATTAACAGCATGTTTTGGGGTCACAGAGGCACCATGAGGAACTTTAAAGAAAAAAAATCAAACTAAGTGCTGTGCACTGTGGATGTTATTTCTAAGCAGTGTTGACACAAGTTGTTCCGTAAAAAGACACTTCAGGTCTAGGGTTTTCTTCCTTTTAAGATAACCCACAAAGCCTGTGCAAGTCCTTCCTAAAACACTAGTCCCATTTTTGTTAGAATGATAGAGAATCCAATTTGCAGGGTACTCTGCTATCTACCATGCTTTACTTTGGATCTGAAATACCATAACTGCAGGGCTCTAATGAGACTTCCAAGTTGTAACACATACAAGCAGTAACACATCTTTTTTCCTGTCATTGCATGCATGCCTACATCAAACCATAACTGCATACTCTGACACATCTGTAAATACATTGTGCCTCATGTTCAGGCTGCATCTGTCAACGTGGCTGCATCATAAATTAACTCAGACAGTTCTGACAGACTATGTGATGGATTGTTGTAATCCAGGTTTGCACTTTGCAGCAAATATGGCTTGCAATATGGCAGAAAAAAGTTAAGTTAGTCTTAAGATGTGGTGTAGATAGTGTAATATCAAAGTTGAGGTTTATTACCAAGCCAGTTCTACACACATTCTGTACCTTGTTTTCATTGAAATTAGCGATGACGACACCAACGAAAAGGGTCAGTCCAATCATGCAGCCCAGGAATACAAAAACATGAATATAGATTCCATGGATCTGAAGAGATGAAAAATACGGTTAATCATTAATTTAAACCAAAATAGTTGTTACGGAATTCAAAGAGTCTAACGAGCTTTTTTACCGGCCCAACACGATGAATAATAACATCTCTGACTTCCACCCAGCCTTTCAATGAAAGAACTTCGAAGAGCGCCAGCATAGCATTCCCCACATTGTCAAAATTGAAATTCCGAGGATTTGCCCTGAAATGCAATACACAAATAGGTGTAAACATACTTTTTTTAGTATTTACATCTTAGGTAAATACTAATGCAACTCCTTCAATGTCAAACTATACAGCTCTAAAATACAACTACATCACAGTAAATCCAGGAAGGAGGCTGCTCTATTTGTTACCTTTATTCTTCACAGCCTAACTGAGGTGTAAATAGTTGTCTTGCAATGTTGGTGCCTCTGAAATATACCACTTAAAGCTCTGTTTCAACAAATAATTAAGCAATAGCAATGACCATGTACAGCATAAGTTTTCTTGGTTGCCGTGTATGTTTTATGTTACTCATAGCCTGAATCACTGTAATGAAGCTTATAACACATTGCTGTATCTTAGAGTGCTTTGCTGATAAAATTAGTTAAATACAGCATTAATAAAAAAATGGATTTGATGGCATTTGGTCAGATTCTGGAATAAATGTACCTGAATGGGAGAGATCTCAAAACCACATAAGTGGTTTGGATCCAGATCACACACGTGATCTAGATTCCTAAGTCAGTAAAATGGTTCAGAAAATTCCTTATTTCTTTCTCACCACGACTGATGGCCCAAAGCAAAATTTTGAGAGAAAATTGACATCTTCTTGGCTTTCTTAAGTCATATACTCTGAGCTTTTGTATCCACTGAAATTCAAAAAGGATCTTTCCAGCTGAACATTAAAAGCACCCTCTTTGCACTAGGTTAGCGCATTGTCCTTCCTCTACAGCCTGAAACAGATACTCCAAGCAACCCAGTTACTGTTTAGGAACTAGAAATGTAAATAGTTGGATTTCAGAAGAGAAGTTGAATATTTGGATGTTTCTGAAAATCCATCAGTTCAGTGAAAAAGAGAGCTCTCAGCTGTTTTAAAATGTGGCCCTTATAATCTTGAAAATCTGGCCAGCATGGCCAACATGTGGTATGAATGTCCTTGTGATAGTACATTTTTCTGCAAAAACAAAACATTCCTCAAAGTTTACAGTTTTGCTGACTTGGAGTTTTTGCTTATTTCTGGATCAAGCTGAAGTGGATTGAATTTGCTTACTCGTAGGAAGATTTGGTCTGAAGCGCACAGAAACAGAGAGTTCTGCAGCTGTCGCACTTTCACTGACTGATCAAATCACAGCACATTATTTCATTAGTGTAAGATGGTTGGGAATCCACCACTGCTGGTGCATTCTTTACCCACACACAGAGTCAATTAAAATAATTGTGGCTGTTTAGCTGATTTTGCAAAATGCAAACCAACCTACTTTAAAATATAAGCAATTAAACAGAGATTTATTTGCTTGTTCAGGTCTTCAGATATATCAAAGAGACTTTATCAGAATACTAATTTTTGACATAATGTTGACTCTTAAATAATTTTACTGCATTATTCCACCATATAGACCACAGAGATCCTCTACACGTGAAATAGCAAGCAGTTAATAAACTTGCTGGAGATGGTTAGTTTAGTTGAGAGCATGGACACAGAAGAGAAATGTTGGTTCTGTGCTATCAGTATGTCTCTATAATAATACTTAGGACAATGCAGTAGAAATCTCAGCTCATGCCAATAACTCCTGCTGTAATAATAACCTTATGTCAAATTTCCACATACAGTAACTATTGGTATTCTTTTTTCCTTTCTGCATTATGAACAGCACAACAAGTTAAGACTTGAAAAGCTTCATATAGCTATCTTTACATACTAAATAGACTGGATGCGTTTTATCTTTTGCACCATTTGACACAAAAAAACTCAAACAAATATAAAATTTACATTAAAGTTAAATGAACTCATTTCTTATTAGTCTTGTTTCCTTCATCCCAGCTGTATAATGTCATGATATTTGAGCCATATCCCAACTTAAAAGCTGAGTTTCTAAAGAAGAATGAACCTACATGTAATAACTCACCAGACTCGTGGCACCCAAAATCCAGGCTTTTTCTCTCCAGGTCTTAGCTTTAAATTTAGGTTTTTGGAAACACTTACATTTATTCTGAAGATGCCATGACAATCTTCCTACAGTAAAATAAACCACAAGGTCAGATTAAATAATGGCCTGCTAGAGAGGTCAGGATGCAAGTACAGGCAATCAGAAGCAACGTAAACAGAAATAAACAGTTATTTACAGATTAGGATTATCAAAGGACCCTTACTCACAGTAGAAAAGTGCATCTTTTCATCAATTCAAAGAATTCAAAAAACCCTGCTCCTCCCAGGACCAAGAGGGCCCCTTATTCATTCTTTGACCTCTTTCCTAAAGACTACTGTGCTCTTCAGAAGATTCTCCAAACGGAAGTAAAGCAACATGGCTCTTCACCTACTTAACATTTCTAGTGTTTCTGATCTCTAGCAGACTAACCTGCTTTTCCATTGATTTAAGGATACATGTGTCATTTTCCATGATTAATTTCATGATTCATTTCCACTAATTCCATGTCCATTTCTTTCCAGATAGTATGGAATTAGTTTGACAGCTTTTTTTTCAGATAGTCTCCAATATCTGGCCTTGTCTGTCTTCGTTACATGCAAACCCAGCCTTAGCCTCATACTTTCACTCCTGAATCAACTTTCCCTCTGTCATCCTAGTTCTAAACAGAAAGTGCCCAAGGTGGCCATCTCTCATGCTAGTACTTACTGCCCCCACTTGCTTACTCCAGCAGGCAGAAATGGAACAGCATACTATTATTTTGAAGTAAGAAAGCAGTTCTTACCCTTGAGATGATGTGTGGATCATTGCATTTAGCCAGTTTCCCAGCAAATAGCTGCACTCCAAAGCTTGCAAAAACAAGCATTAACGTCAGCAAAAGAATAGAAACCTGTAAAGATGAAGTCAGACTTGTCAAATCTTTCTCCTGAAGACTTGAGAAAAGGGTTCAGATCCTGCATTAACCTACAGAGAGAGCTTTCATATAGATGCCTTATTTTAAGTTCTGATAAAGTAACAAGACACCCTAGCACTACTATAAATATTATTATTAATATAGCATATAAGAACTATAGATAGAGATAAAAGCCTTCCTTGCACTTAGTGCACAGTATTGATAAACTTTGTCAACACAAGAGTCTCCGTTTACTTTACTGAGACTATTCCAAGTACTGAAATATGTGATTCTTTTGTTTTGTAGCATCTGGGCTTACTGATTAATCTGAGTAAGCCATTGCTAGATGTTTAATATCAGAACAGTTTCAGTAAATGCATGCATAACAAATTATGCTGTAAAACACAGAATCACTAAATCAGAGAATCACTGAGGTCAGAAGAGATCTCTGGACATCATCTAGTCCAACCCTCCTGCTCAAAGCCGGGTCACCTACAGCAAGTTGCCAGGATCACATCCTGTTGCATTTTGAATATCTTCTAGGTTGGAACCTCCACACATCTCTGGGCAACCTGCTCCAGTGTTCAAACACCCCGACAATGAAAAAAGGCTTCCTGTGTTCACAGCAGACTTCATGGGCTCCAATTTGTGCCTATTGCCTCTTGTCTTTCCATTGGCCACCACTGAGAAGACTCTGGCCCTGTTCTCTTTACACCCCCCAAAGGGTATTTATACACACTGATAAGATCCGTCTTAAGTATTCCACTCTCCATGCTGTGCAGCCCCATCTTGCTTTAGTGTCTCCTCATATGTCAAATGCTCCAGCCCTTTATCATCTTCATGGCCCTTCTCTGGATTCCTGCAGTACCTCCATGTCTCTCTGGTACTGCAGAGTCCATATCTGGACACGACACTCCAGATGTGGCCTCAGCAGTGCTGAGTAGAAGGGAACAATCCTTTAATCCGACGCAGTATCTGTGAAATGCTAACTGGCTTTACACTGTTCGTTCTTGCTCTTCTACTAACTGTCTACATATATTTTGTAGCTTGACTTTTCTATAACAACCTAAGCTAACACAAGATGAGAAGGTCTGTTATTTAGGCTGACATGTATTGCCTAGGAAAACTTGGGGTCCTGTGACAATAGATTTGACAATAGATTAGCAACAACAGACTGGATTGTTGTTGTAACTATTACTATCACTATTACTGCACAATCATCAGCATGTAATGAGATAAGAAGATCCATATCTGCAATGGGCAACTGTTTTATCTCTGACCGCCCTTCAAAAACCCTGGAGGAGGTTGAGAGCTGCAGTTCTGAAGCCAAATTTACTTTCCTTCTTGCAGAGTTGCCATATTTTGCCTCTCATCTTCCTTCTCTAGCTAGAAGTATGAATAAGGGGTATATTTTCTTTCATTAGTTCTTCTAGGTAATAATGACCAAATATATACTGAACAAATAATACCATTTACAAAATACATATTACAACAGCTTTATTGAGTGTAAATGAAAATAAATAATTTACATTCTGAATTTTTAAACTGTTCTGTGTTCCTCTGCAGTGGTAGCTTCAATACATTTCTTCAAAGAGAAGTTAATATGGGATAGCAGAGATTAGAAAACATAAGCATTATAGAAAAACGATAACTTATTGCTCCTCTACATCTTTTTGTAACAACAGGAATAAAATAACTGATACATACCAAAAAGATTTCCTTAAAGCCACTGAAGAGCTCTCGTACAACTTTCCTCATTTGAGGGACCAGTTTAAAAATTCGAAGAGGTCGGAGACAGCGAAGAACCATTAGGAGCTGAGCGCCTGATTTAGCAGGGACGTTCTGAGGCATCCAGCACAAGAATATTAAACTTACCTTGAAGAAATATAGTAAAAAAAGGTAAAGAAACATCAGGATTACAGTGTTTTACTTGGCCTACAAACACCACACAAACTCAGTAAATGAGTTCCTAGATTAAGACCTTAGATCAGGCTTTTTATTCTTTCTCTCCCTGTCAAATATGCTATCCTGAAGCTGAAACACCGTCACTGAAAAAGTTTTTTAACAGAGTCCATAGCAGTTCTTCTTTGCATTTTTTTACAGGCATAAGTAGTTTTGCTGCATGAGTATTCAGCATTTCAAAGCATTAGCCATGTCTTGTAGTCTGTAACAATCTATGCAAGCTGGTTACTTGTTATAAAGCCTGTTAATTGTTTCTGAATCTCCTAAAGGCAGAAATGAGAGTGTTACACAGAGATGTCCAAATATGGATGATCAAGGTGATATCACTATTATGATTAAAAATATAATGTGATTTTAAAAAAATAATAAAAATAAATAACAGCAACTCCAACAAAGCAAATGAAAAGGAGATAGTAGAGCTTCCTTCTCTTTTAGACCCTGGGCACACTTAGTACCAAGGTGTACCATCTCCATTTTCCTGCAAAGAAATACAGAACACAACCAGCAACATAGCAGATTCAGAGGCATTTCAATAAACTAATGCACTTCCTTACTATGCATACCACAGTTGGATTTTTTTTCTATATAGGTATGCATATATTTATTTATGGTAACAGTAGAATCTTTGATACAAATTGATCATGACAAATTTTATGCAACATATCTGTCTGGTGGATTAATCTCTGAAAGATTTAATCTAAATCCATCAAAGGAATTTTACTTAGTAATTTCTTCAGCTACGAAATATTTCATACTATATTATATTGAGCACTGTTTATAGCACATTGTGATACGTTAAAGAGAAAGGAGAAGCCCTTCTCATATATGAATGAAATGCAAGAAATGAATACTGGACAGTGGCACATTTTTTCCTGAGAAATACTTCTAGCGAGAGAAAATAGAAACATAGAATATAAAAAGATGCTGTTGCTTTACATTATTTGTGCTATAGCAACACAGGCAAAACCAAGGATGTGCTTTCCATTCCCCTTTCTGTTAAAGGACAGTGCCTTTTGAAACATTTTCCGTAAAGCATAACTGTTCAGAGGGGAGGAAGCAATGAATGACAGATGACAGAAATAGATAAAGATTATCCTATAAAACTGCTGAAGCAAGGGCAAAGATCTGGATCTTGTGTTGGAATTAAATAAGGTCTGATGCATTAAACATATCAACACACAAATACTTAAAAGGGAGCATACAATGAAAAGCCTATACTAAGTTGCCAGGCAGATAACAAATGCCAGCATATTTGTAGATGTCTGTAGCTAAAAGGCTGCACATGAAAACAGTGGTGTTTGTACACAAATTACATTATTGAGTTTGAACCAAGGTTCTGGGCCAGATTTTTTTTAACATTCCCAAACAACAAAAGGATCAAGACTAAGAATGCTACAGAAAACTCCCATAAATATAAAAGCTTACAAGATATATAAATATGTCCATGACTCCTCCGAAGTCCCTAATGACAGCTGTTGGTGTAAAAAACAAGCCATCTGCCATAATCTTCAGATTAAGCTCAATGCTCATGAATATTACAAAAACATATTCAGCAATCTGAAAATCAAAGCAGAGAACAATCACCATTTAGTAACAGGCAGTGCAGAAAAACAAGGTGGCTGTGCTTTGCTAAATGTGATATGATTTACTAGCAGTACCTGGAGTGTTGGAGCATGCATAACTCTTCTAAACGGGGATTCAAACATCATGGAAATGCAGGAGCATATGGTTACAATGATCATGACCCAGTCCAGGTAAGTAACCAACCCCAGCAAATCACTGCAAAAAATACACAAATGTAACCATTACAGAAATGTCCAGAGTACTATGACATATCTACTGTGTCTACACCACAGTTAAGTACTTTCCTATGAAAAATATATTAAGCTGAGGGAGGTCAAAGATTTCTCTATGTCAGAAAAGTGTGCCAGAACTAGGGAAGTTACAAGCAAATAAAGAAGAAAAGTCGGATAAAAAAGCCTTTCCCTATTCATCCCCATTCCCATACAACTTCACAAAGAAAAAAAAGACTTTTTTTTAGGATAAAAGAAATACACATATTTATACACATATATACACCAATATGCATGTGTGCGCTCACACACTTAAACTGTAGGTTTATATGACCAAATGAAGTTACTTTTGCAGTGCTTACTAAAGCTGATGGTATTTAGTATTCTTCACAGCTCCAGTAACAGGATCTGTTTTAGAACTATGAAAAGAAAAAAAAAAGATTGTCATTTAAATTCTATTTTAGATACTGTTATAATTATAATGTGTAAGCATTACCTTAAAGTAACTAACATCCAAAATCAAGGAAAAAATTATCTTGGCTTAATTTTAAATGTACGTATGAGTTTCATTTCATTTATACAATGTTAGACATATTATCAGTAGTTAGTACCACCTTGATTATGGCATACCAGTGATTCCTCTAAAGATTCTTTAAATGGTTAGCTTTTTGACTCATGGTTTTGTGAGGAGAATTTAATGCAAGGATTTAATTTTCTGTTTTGCTTTTGGCCAGAGCCGGAGGAGGGGTAAGATAACCTCGCAACTGAATTTTATATTCTAAAGTGCTTCCCCAAGAGCTCCTTCTGTCTCAAAACTTACTCTTAACTGACGCAAAGTCCTTCCACAGGCTCTATTTCTTTATAGTTTGTTCAATCATTTGTTGATTAATATTCCTAGATTGTACCCACTTGGGTCTCTTATAAAGCTACCTTGCTTCACCTACAACATCCAAACATCTATTAGGCCAGAGAAGGTGAGAATCACTCTGTAAGTAATAAGAATATATGTAGGCAACCCTAGTAAAATTCCTCTCTAGTAATTATTTAGGTTTTCTATACCAAGAAGAATGGTTTCAGCAAGAGAGGCTACAAGAACACCACCTGATAACCCTTTCCTGCCCCTGTGGTTAGGGGCACTTTTTATTTATTTTTCACATCCTTGCATTAAATCATGCAGGAGAAGGATCTGTGCTGAAGTCTCCTTTAGCCCATGTGATGGTTCTAGTTGTTGGAATGTGAGATTGTAATCAGCATGTTTAATGGGGAAAACTGACCTGACTGAGGCACAGTCACCAGAAGATACTTCATATTTATGAATTACAAGAATTCAAGGTGCATGCAAGGTGCATGCAAGGTGCAGGCATCTTTCTTCGGCCCAAGGTTGGCCAGTTATCCTCTTCTGCATGTACAATAGTTATAAACCTGCTGCCTTCTGTGCGTTCTTAAGCTCTTTCCCGCACTGTATATAGCACCATTCCTTAACTGTTTTTACCAGAAAAAAAAAAGTCATGTCCTAACACTTTGCTTAACAAGCTGGGTGGGGGGCAATGAATCAAGTAACTTGTATTCAAATAAACACCAAATGATTGTTTAACAAAATCACAGCTTTGCTTTTATTAAAATATTATTAATAAAAATATCCTCTAACCCTTCTCACAGCAGGCTCTGAAATATATCTATAAAGTGGATTTGAATGCATATTTACATACTTTGTTTTGCTTTTTAAATTTGCACCTTCTTCATGGACCAGTGGACGCCAATCAAGTAACAGCCTCATAGAAAACCTTGGCATGGAACTCATGGCTGTGCTGGAGCAACACCTAATTACAGGTATTGTAAAACTGAATATCTAACCTGCCTGCTGCTCTACGTAGAAATAATTTGTTAAAGGGCCTAGAGGAAAACAATAGTAAAGCAGGTGCTGAAAGCAGGTCTTCCAAGTGCATACCCTTGAGCTATCCTCAATTTATGTCATATGTTTGCAAGATGACAGGCATTAAGCTTCAAAATTGGGGTACCAGCTATAGACAGAGGATTAGAAGAAGAGTGATTAGGTCATTTTGTATCAGGCAGCCTGTAGGCAGGTCTGTACATTCCACATGTGGGCACAGCTGCAGTTTAGCTGCTGAGTCTTTCTGCTTTTCAGCTGGTCTCTGCTGAACTGCTTTTATCTCCCACAGCTGAATCCTTCCTGGTTCCACTCTGGGCTTCCAATTACGGGCTAAGGAGGCTTCAGATGGGCAGAAGTGGGATTCATTTCTCTTCACTTTTCCCTATTTTTTGTCTGAGTCATGGCTGGCCTATAAAGACTCCCTGAGGAATGAATTGCAAGCTGACTCCCCAAGCTCTAAAAATAGCGACAGAAAACATTGCTGTTTTCTTCTTAACTGGTGTCTTCTGTTCCCCACAGTCTTGACCCATCTCAGCATCCCAGAGTGCTCAAACGACTACGGCCTTATTTGTTGCTTTTCCTCCAGCAGTAAGGTTATACCATAGGCAACTGGCTGCCAGCTGGTTTCGTGACCACATCATGCACAGTTTCCCTTCCAAAAGAAAGATTTCTGAGAACACGAAGGATAACGCTTGGCTGAACCAAGGGTTCATATGCAACAAACTTACGCGTTGAAGCGAGCTCGCACAACCACTCGACAAAAATTCCTGAATCTGTGCTCCCGGCCAACTATGAAAAGCGGTTTATCAAAATATGGATGATTCTCTCGCAACTCCTCCTCTTGGACTTTCCTTGTAAAAGAAAGGATGTAAATTATTAACTGATATGCATTGTCCCTTCCAAAAATATCCCCTACATTTTTAAATCACACTTCTCAATTATTTTTCCTTCATACAAAGATTATTTAATACAGAAAAGTGTATGTTCAAACTAGTGATTTTTCAATACCTTTTCATTTCGGCTTGTTCTTTTTTTTCTTGGATCATCTTTATCTCACTGTCTTCTCTCTGTGCATTTCTGTATCTCACTGTATTCGAGTGCTAGAAGCAAAATGATTCCTTTAAAATGAGATCTTTGACTTTTTTAATATGCAAGATATGGCATTTTACAGAGAAATAGTCAATGAAAAATCTTATTTTCCAAATGCCCTAGGCATCAATTGTGTCAAGCATACTGCACAGTATTTTCTATCTAAAGCACAAGGCTGCTTATTTTCAGCAAGGCTAATTTCAGTTTTAATTTTACATATGAAGTGCCATCCAATGCAACTATTTACTCTAACTGCAAAGTAGGTCCTGTAAACTCATCTGAGATCTGCAAACTGGAAAGAACTCCATCAAAATGACTGAAGGCAGTAATCGGGAAAGAAAAAGCTTTGGACACACTGAGTTCCTTGGCCTTGCTACTTGCACTGCTACACTAAACACAGGAAGGTAGTAAGCTGTGCTGAATATACATGTAGGGACTATATAGACACAGGAAAGATGAAAAGTGAGCAAACACAAGTTTCTGTGCTCAGCCAGTGGAGGGTACAGTAATTTTTTTCTACTGAGATTTCACAGCTTCTTTGGCTCATTCCTGGAGAGGTAAGGTTATGGGCCCCCTTGCTATAGAGAGACATTAGCAAAGCCACAATCTGCTTTGAAATGTCAGTTACTACAGTTATCTATAGTTTCTTTCTATCATCATGGAATGCAATTCATGAATTCTTATATAGTTCTTTTTAAGTATGAATCACATACACTCTGGTGGTTTGGAAGTTAAGAGACCAAAAACTGCTCTGGAATTTTCCTTGATGTAGCCATAGCAATCCATAAAATATCAGTATGAATTTGCAAAAGTGGAAATGTACTACACTGTATGAAACTACAGCGCAGGGAAATTTGTGCTTATTCTTCTTCTTTTTTAGTCTTTGTCCTTTTGTTTGACAGTTCTAGTGTTTGATAAATATTGTTAAACTTTCACTGGGAATTCTGAAGTACTGTTTTGCCAGCCTGAGTTATTTGTGTAATTCTAGACTGAGGCTTTTTAAGATATCCTGGGTAGCAATTCAGTGTTCCTAATGCAGTGTCTACAGTTTCAGTGAATCTATTTCCGCAAGTATTTCAAAACCAGTGAGTCTATCAGTGAAATAACCATGGCAGTTATTTTGAGGATAGTTCTAATACAATTACCCCATTTGTTTTCTGATTTCCTTACAAGATTTCAAATGACAAATTGTAAGCATGATCACAGATAGGCATTGATCTTACACAAGCAGTGATTATGTAGTACATACTCCTATTTCTTGCATCCCCAAATTGAAAACATGATATCTATGAGGACTTACATCTTGAGTCAATGTTTCAAGAGATTTTCCTCTACTGATGCGCTGGCTGTTGGAACCATGTCTCAGTGACCTGGAACAATCATAATCAATTTAACGATACATTTTATGATAAAATTTTGACCTTTATAGAATAGCCACTATAAAGCGCTACTTTCTAGACATACAATATTGCAAATTCTTATCATTTCTCTCTCCCTTACTTCAGAAGCTTATGTATTCTTCAATTGTTTTCAATATAGTATAACATAAGCCAATTTCTTTCCTTCTGATCTTTAAATTGATAGCTTTATAGTCAGTGAAGGAAATGACATTTGAAATGAAAAGGCTTTTTTTTCCCCATTTATAAACTACAATGAATTTCATTACAATTACAATGAAGAATGTACAATTTGCCTCTTTGTAGAAGTCGTTTCAGTTTTACGCAACTTAGGTATTGTGCACATTTAGTTCTTTTTATGACTTTTATTTTAAAGATATTTTTAACCAGTCCTTCCTGTCTGCGTTTACCTGCGTTCTTGCCGTATATGATGCTGGACACTAAGTATTGACCTTTCTTTTGCAGGCTGCCCCTCAAAGGACCCACTCAACATGCGTTGTCTAGTGCAGGCCCTACAAAGAAATACGATGCTGATAAAAAACAGTTGTCAGGATAAATGATAGTTTTTGAGCTAGGGAACTCAAACAAGTTGTCTTGACTTTCTTGGAATATAAGTGCACAGTAACACAGAAAAAATGAAACAGCAACACTTTTTTTTTTCTTTGTAAAACATCATATTTCTAGGGCAATGTCTCCCTCTCTGATCTGATGATCCTTCTCTATGCTTTAGCAAGGCAGCCCATCTGTGAAGTGTTTTTCAGTTTGCTGTAGAATCTCTGTTCCTGCATGACTTCATTCACTAATTGTGAAGAAGGCCATGGAAAGCACCAATTACCAGTAGGAAAAGCTTCTCAGGAATAAAGAAGCGAGGCAGAATATCATTGTAGGGCAGTCCTCTTCCTGAGCTCTACTTATGCTCTACTTATTTATGAACACATTTGACGTTAACAACACATCTTGCAGTTTTCTTCTATATAACCAGGCTCGGGTAATGTTTGAAATGAAATGCTGCTCACTGTTGTTACTCTGCAATATGAAATGTCTGCTCTACGGAATGCATTTACTGCAGCATTTTGTTGTGTGGGGATTTTGCAGTTCTTTGTTTATTTGTTTCAGTTTGCTTCTGCTGGAGTTTGGCAAAAACATACTGCACAATATTTTGCCAGAACTGACTTCATTTAGATAGCCAGTAAGTGTGCTCCAACTAAATGGAGCATGCATATTTTCCTTTTGCTGGCAACAGCAAAATAGATTTGTTTAAGACAAAGATAGATTTCCATTAAAATAGAGCTGGCATAACTATTCTGATGGTAGACGAATGGAATTTCAAATTTGGAAAAAATATTTTGGCTTACTAGGAATGCTACAAATTTAAGTCCACACAATACATGGCTCACTGCTCTTTTTGTCTGGTGCAATTATTCAGAAAAACTCTCACAAGGCCCAGCTGGTAATATTTCATACTTTTTAATGAATTGAATCTCCATTTTTTTGGAAAGTATGCAAAAATATACATGCTATTGGAGAGACCGCTCTATTGACAGTTCTCTGTGAAGTTTGGATAAATGCTATCCTTGACAGTATGGGTCCTCAGGCGTATTCTTTCCTTAGTATTGTTTAACGTGATGATGAGGTCTTTTTTCTTCTTATCTGCAATTTCTTCATCTTTTGGATTTAAACATGCAAATGACAGGAGTGTGAATCCAAAGCGAGATCTGGAATGAAAATGAGAAGCTTAGGATGTTTTTCGATGTCACCACTGACAATAATACTAGCAAGTAAAAAAATACATTGCGCTACACTCATTACAGAGGCATTAAATTACATTAGATGGACATGGAAGTATCTTCCTATTTAAGAAAATCACTCTGTGTCTTGCACTAAAATACAACTTATCTTAGCCAAATCATGAACATTTTAAAACCAATGGATTTTAAAAATTATGTTCCATAGGATGATGTGGTGTAATACTGTCAGAACATAGTAATAGTATCATTTGAATATCTATGAAATTTACATATAAAAAAGGATATATTTTATTTGATAAAAGTAGATGCTACCTAACTCCATTAAAGTGATGGTCCAGTTTACCACTGGACAATGGAGAGTTCTGTTGTCTGACTTCTTTCTTACAAAGGTTTCTTGCTGTGATGAAGATTTTTTTTCCTCCTGTAGATATGAATTATTCTGCTGTTTTAAAAGTTAGCTTTTCTTACATCAACAATAATATTGTGCTATTAATGATTTTCCTTACATCAGCAAGTGACTTCCACAAAACTTTCTCGAGCTTGTACACACTTTGCTTGAACACCAAGCTGCTTTATGAGTAGAGAACATAAAATCTTAGTGTGCATTATAAAAGAACATTACCTGCCCAGGCCATAAATTCTTTACTTGACTTGATGAAAAATATGGCTTATTTGATTATTATAAAGCAACTTAATCATACACTATAATAAAGAATACATGTGCATAAAGGGAAAGTCCTGTGGAAAGGCTGTTAGGATTTTCTATGATGTCTACCTTAATTTAGATGTCTCAATCCGTATTTACCACTCACACACACTACCTAATTTTAAAGAACTCCAATGCCAATTTTACAATGAAGTGATTAGAAGTTGTTAGCAAGAAACTTCTGTATTTTCACAAAGATGACACTGTGAAAGAGCAGGGTTACTTTTGAGAGTTCCTGTCTCCTAGCATTCTCTACTCTATGGGAATTAGTGACTTAATCTTCTTATTAAAAGGCACATTCTGCTTTCCTTTCATGTCAGGAACAAGATATTTTTCAGCAATTCAGGCATCTGGAGGTGCAGACCTTTTAGGACTTTTGGAAAGGTCAGTGTGTGCCAAGACATTTCAAAATTCCAGAGGTGTCTACCTTAACATCTACAATAGGATTTATCTTCTTAATGTAGATACCTACACTTATGGGCTTATTCTCAGCACCGGTGTGTGAGTCAGCTGCCTTTGCTTCCCTCATACTCACTGGAGATGTAGGCCTTAACTGAGTTGCTCCTAGAGAGGAGGCCATTGCCAGCTGCCATACCAGGTGGTATTTCGCCTTGTCTCCAGCTGCTGCTCAAGAAGTCTATGGGTTCCTCATAGATTTCTGTCATATTTGCCAGCCCCCAAAGGATGTTTTGGATATCCCCAGATATATCATATGTTACCAGATGCCTTTATGTGGGCAACTTAATTGAACACTTCATCAATTCAATTAATGGTGTTTGGAAGCTATTCAAGTTACATCATAAAGAAGACATCTAAAAATAAAGCAGTCAGGTAACTATCTCATTGGGCTCCAGCGCTTGCATTAACTAGATCTCTGCTGACTACAGTGACAGATTTGATACTTAGCTCCCAGGCAGGTGTGGTAGTCTTGAGCTGAATCCCACATCTGGGACCATCATTGTCCCACAGTGTTAAAAATCTAGTAATATGTGGTTTGCTAATTGGAGTTTAGGAAAAAAAAATGTTTTGCTACATCTTTATGCATTTGTAGCTATCAGAAGCGTTTGACATTTGTTTGGAAATGCTGGAATCCTGGCAAAAATAACCTTTTTTTTTTTTTTTTTGCTAAAGCGGTTCTTCAGCTGTTCTGACCTTTGCATAACACCTGTACCATAGATAGCTTCATGTCTGCTTGTGGAAGAATGAGCAAGTTAGGAAACAGGAGACAAGACAATAGGAAACATGCCAAGTCTTCCCACTTTGTACTTACTTTGCAGTACTCTGAACACAGTCCAGGCAGCTGCAAACCATATGATCCACATTTGCTGTGAAAAGCACAAATGGAATAAAACAATCTGAAAGAGAAAATTTCATTTGGCAGGTTATTGAAAAGCCAGATTGCAGGGCAAGACCCTGCAGGATCATGTAATATTGGGATACTATATAGAGCATGATACCTGTAAATAATTACGCAGCCCACTTCAGGCTGTATTTATTTCATGCTTTGGAATCCCTGAAAAATAAGTAACAAACACAGTGATCAAGTAACATATTTTGAGCTAATGCTTTTTTTTTATTGTTTTGATCAATACTTCAAAATACTGTACCTTTCATTAATGAAGTCTTTGAGGTCTCTTGCACAGGATATGCATACGGGTCATTCTTGGACTTTTTCAGGAGACATCCTTCCAGCAATGAGTGTTTGTTGCTTCTTCTTACATAGCATGGATTTGATGCATTTTTTTTATTATTATTATTTAGATAAGTGAATGTTAAACTGTTCTGTAGTATCTGTTAATATAATTGTCCGTTGTACACACGCCAAAATCATACTTTCATCCAACTTACATCATGGTTAAGCTGGATAACCTATGATTCATGGTAAATTCACCTACCCGATGGTTTCCAGTGTTTCTATCTCTCATTTTATAAATATCATGCAATACGGCAATCTTTAGACAGCAGACTACCACCTCAGACTACCATCCTCATCTTGTCTTGCTGTTTCAGCATTTCCTCTACCCCTTGGATTTCCCTTGGATCAGGGAAGAATTGATAGAGTCAATGAAGCAGAAAGAACCTCAAGGTCATTTAGTCTATCATCTTCTTCAAGATGGGATCAATGATACCTATACTCTTCTGGGCAGATGTTCATCTAACTTGCTTTTCAATATTGGCCATGTCGAAGACTTCACAACCCACTAACTCTGTTTCACAATGCCATTTATCATTGTGATGTACAGAGAATCTTGTTTCTTGCTCATTCTGATATTCATAGAAAAAAATCACTGTATTTTGAAGAAATACTTACTTGAACACAGCTAAATTATCTGCTAGCCTTCTAGCAAATTAGTAGAACTGGATATTTAATTTAAGTAATCATTTTTTTTCCACAAGGCACACTCAAGGCAGTTTTAGTTTCAGACATAAGATAAATGTGCTTCACTCGATTAGCTGTTTATAAAACTAAAAGTTTCACTTAGGCATGAGATATGTTTTTCCCTCAGGCCCAGTAAATGTGTCAGACATCCTTCTTCTGGAACAGTGAGAATTCTTTTGCATAACCCTAGCACCAGTTTACAGCTTGGCTACAGCATCAGTTTTAATGAAAAGCAAATAAAAAGCTACTCATATTAAAAATTCTAATTTCCCAAACTGTCACAACGCATTATTTTATAATGAACTGTACTTTGACTATTGAGATTTTCTTTATCAACAGACCGGAGGCCAACAGACCAAGTTAGTCCCATGTTTTAGTAAATATAGGCAGAAGCACAACTCAGCCAAGTGTGGGTTTAATCAGAACCATGTTCCATTCTAGTCATACTTTGGTTATATTGTGGACTATTTGAGGGTATTTAAAATGAATTGCTTAATTTTTCCACCATTCTGATGTTTACAATTTATCTTCAACACTGTAGGGAGTGGAACAGGTTTGTGCACAGTATTTTGATGGGGCCTCCTCTACCCTCTCCACTTGAGAAAGCCAGTTGGACCCATTTGTGACGGATACACTCCTTCCCCAGCTCATCTGACTTCTCACACGTAGCCCTGTTCAGGTGTTAACTATCACATTATCTGATCCTGGTAGTTGCCTCCCTGATTTCTTCCCCCATCCAGACATTAACTATCAATAACAGTCCTGATGGCCCTATCCTGATGGGGAGATAAGGCTAACTGTGAGTACACCAGCCAACAGTCATTTCTGAATGGAAAGAATGACTATCAGTCAATCATATTATCCTATAAACACAGAGACAGCCCAAGAGCCCATTGAGCTCTCCTTGCACGGCAGCGGGCTGCATGCCAGGATCTCCCCTTGAGCAGGGACGCCTCTCAAGGATACTCCTCAGGGTTAAGAGATCCTTCCCACTACAGATTCGTGGTAAGTGACTATAGCACGCCTTTCTCTTTCTGAATTTGTAAACTTTACTTTGTAACTGTGCACAAATCCCTTAGACATAAACCGTTGACCAGGTCTGGGACTAGGACTGGATCCAGCTGCACCCAGACTCCTCTCAGAAGGAGTTTGGAAAGCAAGGGGGTCCAGTCTGAACCTCGTGACCCAACAGGAGGGTGTCCTTGATAATTCAGTGTGTATCTTGAACCTCCATGCAGTAACTAATAAGTGACCTTGCCATAGAATCTCATGAAACCATTGTCATTACCAATAAAACCTATTCCTGTTTCTTTCCCACGAGTGAAGTGCATTGTGTCACTCATCCCCAACCCCACTCGTTCCGTGACACCACTAAGCACTTGATGCTCACGTCATGAACTGAACAGAGGGTCAGAAGAACCATTGTGCATGACTTGCTTTTAAGACGAAAAGCAGTGAAGACAGCAAGAGAGAGCGAGTGAAAGTGGGAACCTCTGCAGAAACACAGGAGGAATAAAATCTTCTAGAAACAGTACTTTTTGCTACCAAGAGAAATGCATTATTATTTTCAGAAAAAAAGCTATTTGTAACTCAGAGGTGCTACTAGTTTAGGAAAAATGACTCTTCATGGCTACAAATCACTTTTATGCTACTTCATTTTCCTCAGGAGGGTAAAGTCTCCACCTTAGAATGGATTTATGTGAAGAGTTAGGCTTCTGCATGCTTTGATACTGGCAGGGGTGATGCAAATCATGGGTCAGAGTCGCAGTAACTAGGTCGGTAGTTGTTATACTCCTGACTCCATTCCAAGAAGCAACTCCATGACAAACTGCAGGAGGTTGGGTGAAGGCTGGGTTGCAAGTAAGGATCTTCCATAAATATATGGTTTCTCTGGAGTGCAGTAGGAAAGTTAGAGGAAAATTAAAGGACCTGAGATGGCCTCTACTTGGAGGCACTTACAATCCATTATGCCACACAATGCAGCATTCAGTGAGCTGGAGAGATCCTTATGATTCGCTGTATGAGCTGTATGTCTTCATGGTTCAGGGGTATTCTTTGGGGGATAAGATGTCAAGCAGTTGAATATTTCTTGTAAAGAGGAAAAACAAGGTTTGGACAGAGGAATATGCCCAAGAAATATGTAACAATAGCTTTTGTCCTACAAATTCATTAAGGTAGTACATATTCCTTCTATTTAGTTGGTTACATTGAAACATTTAGAATTTGATTAAAATATAATTTCATAAGGTTTTAAATATGAGATGTGGGGTTAAAGCTAGAGCAGACTTAAAATTATCCTTTTAGTGCAGCAATTTGACCAAGCTGATTTTGGTCTTGGGCAGCTTTACCTTGTAGAAGGATTGCTTTAGATGAATGCTCCTTATATCAGGTAGACAAAAATTTACTAGGAATATTTTCAGAAGGGACATCTTTGAATCATCTCTGAAAGTTCCTAACATAAACATCATTTATCCTTTTTGTAAGATACTTGGAATAGCTAAGACTCAGCTACCTTTAACAGAGAAAATATAGTATTTATGATTTAAGCAAAATAATCTTGGGTGCTCCTGTGAGTTTGAATTTTGCTGTGCACATTGAACTGAATCCAAAGGTTAAGCTGTAAAATTTATCTTCCCTTAAGTCTTCCTTTTCTGTTTGTAAAGCTTCCCTACATCATTGTGATAGAAAAATGCCAATGTTCAGGACTATCTCTCTGCCATTTATACTGTGAACACAATTTTCTTATGCTGGAGCAGATGCACTGAAGATGTGTTTAGAGCACACTCGAAAACTTTGAGGCAAAAACATTACTTGATCCATTTGTTCAAGAGGCAGTTAAAGCCTGCCTCTTTAAAAATTACTAAGATGCAGCCCTATGAAGTATGACAGGACATATATAATCCTGTATTTTGACTGCTTGACAAAAGCTCCCTCTTTTTCTCTATTTTTCTCCAAAGTTCAGCATGATGACCAAGGAAGTAAGTGAGAAAGTATAATAAATGTCAGAAGAGCACAGATTAAAACTTTCTTCTTTTGCCTCTGAAACTTTTCTTCAAAAGAATTCAGAGGTCAGTTAATGAGAAATCCCCCTAGATACAAGTTTGTTAAAAAGCAAACTTGTGGCCTTGCAGTTACATTGTTTGTCAGCAATATCATGACACAGGTCATACAGTCGAATTAGTAGTTGTTCACATTTTTATTGTCACAGGTTTGAAAACATAAAATCATATTAATTTCTACACCTCTTACCGTATTGTACTCTTACAGAGGATTAAAAAAAACTAAAGAGCTAGCTACTGTAATATCTCTTAAATGGCATGCAATTAGTAGGCAATTTTCACAAAACTTCACAATTCAAAAATCATACTGAATTCTTGCTGCACTGCCCCTCATAAAACACTGCCTACTTGTTTTAATCTCACTATCTCTGTTTCACATAAATTGTTCTTGTTTGCATCTAGCTTTCCTTGGGACAAATCATTTACAACATACTGGAGATGCATCGGCTTTGATGACCATGAAAATATATGCTATATGCTAAATATATGACCATGAAAACAATGATCCACAAATCATTAACATTGTTAACGGACCTTAGTTGAATGATAATAACTCTAATGTAAATAGCATAACACCAACACTGGCCTGAAAAGCTGCATGGCATTTCCCAGATTTAAACATGAGTCTTGGAGACTCAGGAGTGCCTTATCTACTTATGGTGCTGAGTACTTACTTTATCTGGAGTACTCAAATGAGTGATGATTAGTAAAATATTCAGGAATCCCTTCTACAGAGGTCATAGTTTTGAAGTCTTCCTTGCACATTTCCTGCTTAGAATATGGTTTGTAATCTGTAGTCTATGCTTTCCACTGTACAACCCCTATCAAAGTTTACATGCACGTATGTTCAAGAACTCAGCTGAAATTCCTTAGGCAAAATAATATTGCTTATGAAGAGACATCTTTTGGTTAATTTTGAAGGAAAAAGTGAAAAGGGCTGAAACATGACATTTCAACATGACAAAGAACTGAAACATACAAATAAGAGCATAAATATGCTTGTTACTGCTCAAGCATATAATATACCCAAAGAAGAGCATTTACTTTTGACTTACTACATACGGATATACTATCATAAATACTATATATATAGTAAATTAATTTCCAACAGTAACAATCATGAAAACCATAACGAGTATTGAGAAATCAGCTGTCATTCAAAACCCTATTAAATCAGTGGGGGTTCTTACCTGAGAATTTTATTGATTGCTGTCTCTTTTTCCAGAAGATTTCTTGCTCTGATGCTGAAAACAGATTTACGAAGCTATAAAAGGAAAGACAGAGCAATTTTTAATTGACATAAAAAACAGTACGCGTATTGACAGAACAATGAAAAATGGTGCAAGTGTATGAAAGACGGATGAATACTGATAGGACAGTAAATAGATTATGTTCTCCAATTTAATGATAAAATCTTTCCAGTTTGGAGTGCTGATGTTGTTTTACAGAAGGGTCATAGAAAAAGACCGAAATGGTCCTATGTACAGCAAATTACTCTGGGAATGTCCCTTATCCTGCAGCTGTTGGCTTCCCTACCACATTCTTTAGCTAGTTCTGGGTGAAAAAAAAAAAAACAGACAGTTTTGTTGATTAGCACTATGACTATCTCCTTCATTACAGATTTGTTTTCTTCTGTGTTTGGCCAGTTCACATCTATGCCATAGTCCTTGCCTCCTCTGCTCCTCCACTTCTTTGGTTTTATTGGGCTGGCTCATACTCTGAAGATGTCTCTTTCTCCTTCCCTTAACTATACAAAAAAACAAGGTGAAAAGCTTAGATATCTCAATTCAGTGCCTGGAGTTAAGCGAGATGAAACCAGGGCTTCTGTTTCTTCTGAAACCAGGTGTGCCTTCTTGTTCTTTTCCTTTCCCTATATATATACATATATTTTTCTCATGTAGAGAGAAAAATGTGTGGGGAAAAGAGTGTACTTATGCTTGTACTCATATTCTTGTGAATGCTCTTCAGCACTTCTTGGACATTAAATGAAAGAAGTGAAAAAAAAATCAAGAAAACCCAAACACCTAAATCCTAAGCAAGAAGTAACAAACACAACAGATCAAGAAACATATCATAGCTGAAAAAAAAAATAGCTGAGGAATTGCACCTGTGATGAACAAAAAGCCTCAGGCACCTTGCAAGACTTACTGTGTCAGCTACTTGGAGATCATTATCTTGAAGCATTTGAAAGAGAATTAGGAACTCTTAGGCATACTACCTCTGTGTTTGGTCAACTTGAAAATGCAACTTTAGACACATTTCTTTACAACTATTTATTCTAAATACTAGATTTGTTTAATTGTCTGACTTAAGGATGTAAGTAAAATCTTTTTTTTTTTTCTGTAAGTAGGCTACTCAGATACAGAGTCAACTGACAAATAATTTTACCAGCACTTCTCTCAAGACTCAGAATGACTCGATTCATGGCAAGATGTCATAATGTGGAAAACAATAGCAGGAAAAATAGAATAGAAAAAAGAATACAGAACTTGTTGACTTATGCTGTCTGTCATTAAAAAGAAGCTAATATATTTTGAGCCTTACCTGTAACAAAAAGCAGCAGCCTCTTTCCTAAACTTGCCTTTTAAAGTGCCATTCCTTTATTTTTTTCTGAAGTCCAAGACCATTTCTGTTTCGAGCTTGTGGAAACTAACAACTCAGAAGCTTATTATTTGTTCTCTGAATAACAGTGAAAATGTTTTGAAAGCACCACTGTTTTGACACTCTTTGGGTTCCTAAAAACCCAGCATTTTGAAAATCAAAGTATGTAACCTTTGAAAATGTAATTCTCAAACAAGGGATTTCAGGCAACATTAAAAAGACTAATGGAATTGTTGAATACCTGAATATACTAACAAATAATTCCATTATCTAGATAACATTAAAGTCATCATAAACTGAGTATCATGGTATCAGATAAACCACTCAAGCATTATGTAGGTATACCCTATATCCTATGTCCAAATATATCTGTATAGCTTTTAATGCACTTGCATCACGTGTTTAGTGGATTGATCAGCATGAGGCCTCATTGCAGATTTAAATATAGCTGACGATGGGCTGAGCAATGGCAACAGTTTCACATTCTTTTTCTCCTAATGGTAGTGATGACTAACTACACTCTCAGAGAATTGATTTCTTTGTTTCAATGGGGACCAGGGAAAGAAACTTCCAAACCTCAGCAGTATTTATCCTTTTGCAAGTTGTTAGCTATTAATGTATTTAGGGCTCAGTGAGAAACGCTAAACTTAGGGAAATTATGAAGGCAGAAAAACATCTTTGTATGTCTGAGTTTTTTTTTTTCCTTGTATAAATAGTTTCTTTTGAAAAATCACATCAAACATCAGAGAGACAAATGTACTGCCTACTGATGTGCTAATTCTTTCTAATGCTGATTATTTACTTGTTAACATGCCTTAGAAATAGGAAAGATTTCAAATGCAAAAAGCATTAATTTCCTTCCAAATTCACAGTTTTTGTCCTCACTGAGTTTCAGGGAAAAAAAAAAAAAGAGGCAAATATTTTTTCCTGAAATTTTCTAGAACTCACTATCTTGTGAAGACAATACCTTTTCAGTTTTTAAAGTAGGTGTTGCAAGTCCTCAGACTTAAGTGTGTGGCCAAAACACCCAGGCTGTCAAATGAGGATTTGCTCTTGGAAAGCAGGAGTGAGGAGTTTGCTTCCCTGGAAAGATTTTAAAGGGAGACTTGGCACTTTTACTGAGAACTTTAGCCAGGCCAAGTGATAAGCCATGTAGGGCCAGCAATCAAAAAGAACATTTCAAGAAATGCTGCTAACAGGTCTCTGTCAAAGGCTACTTATACCTGGTATATTCACCTATTGGGGTCTGTTAAATCCTTCCTCTAGGTAATGAGACCTTGTGACAGATGAGAAAACAGGAGTGTCCTTGTGCATTAAATGCAGCCTAAACACACCTAATGGATTGAGTTATAGGTGCAATTTTGTCATCATCCTATCCATATTTGCCTTGTGATAGAATTTAAACAGGAGCAAAGCATCTAGCTCCTGAAATTAGGAAGCCTTCACTATGCACAGGACCCTGTGCTTTTGTGCCTATGAATCTTAAGTGATCCAAAATGGAAACGATATAAAGTAGGCACTTCTAAGGATTATGACTTTAAAGATGGTCATCCTCAATGCTCTTTAAGATTTAGGAGTTCTGCTTGCTTCAGATGTTAATAAGATGTTAAATCTAAAATATGCAGAAGAAGCAACCTGAGAAAAATATTTTTAGACATGCACAAATGATCCATTTTTCATATTTAAAGGAGCTCAGTTAAATAAAAACAGGCTTATGTCAATAGATCTATCGGAAAAAAAATCAAGCACTGCTACAAGCGTTACAAGGGTTTTAAAATATGCGTCCTTCCTTTTATATTACATAAACCAAAAAGCTTCCTATGTAACTTTCCAAATTTGCCAAGTTCTTGAATGTTGCAGAGGAAATTATTAGCAGTGTTACTGTAGAAAAGACATTACTTGATCAGACGATATGGAATTAAATAAGTACAGTATACCCTACTGAGGTTATTTTAAGGGATATCTTTTTAGCCTGCTGTTTTTTTTTTATTATTATATATTGTTCTGCGCTGTGAGGACACCCTCAGTGTACCATTATTAGCCATTAGTTATTTATTTATTTGCTTCTTTATGCAGCCCATAAGAAGGTTCACTGTAAAAGTAACAGTGCCATATAGCAATCTGCCATACAGCATTATTCCTTAGCATAAGAGACTGCCCTAAAATCACCTAAGAGTACCTGATTACTATTAAATATGTTCTCTACAACATATTTGTAAGAACTCCTGCAGGCTACTTTAAAAGGTGAGGAATAGCTGTGACAGAGTAGCAAATTACTGTTAGTACTTCCTGGACAAAAAGATTTTAGGTGAAAAACATGTTCTTCTATGAAGCCGAGAGTAAATCTCACATTCCAGATCCCGCATTCCCTTGAGGTTATTTATACAGGTGTGTCTGTGGACCCAGGAAAGCTGCTATCACTTCTCCTGCTGGGCCCCTGCTGGGACCCTCTACTGATGCTGTCGGTGTGACAGACTTCGGGTAGACAAAATGACTCAATCCTGTTAATGGGAACTTGAATTCTGCATTTCCACGAAACTCCTTTTGCACAAAAGGATTGAGACCCAGTAATACACTCCTGTAACGTTCATGAAAAAAGCTAAATTACACAGCATTATTACTCTGCAGTGTCACCTGCCGCTTTGAAAAGGTACTGCAGGCATTTTAATTTAGAAGAGTATTTATTTGCTGGTATACACAAAATTCCAGGCTTTCCACTCTGGAAAAGAAAATTCTTGGCATAAACGAAAAGCAAAGTAAAACAGGACAGCACCCTGGCAAGAAGACAGCTAACAACAGTGGATCAGTTCCACGAACTAAGTGTATCGGCAAAGCAGTGCTGACTTCAGGGGATCCCTGCCAATTTCTAACAGCTAAGATATGGCTCAGTGGTTTTCAGTTTTGAGAAGTGCTGTTCATTGTCAAGATTTTGATATATTTTGCTAGCGACATTTTGCAGCGCACAGATCCCAGCAAGCACCGCATAAAACAATTGTTTTCCGCTTGAATTTGACAAAGAAGTGCACGCTATCAAATGGTGAAAACTGTGCTGATATAGAGTGTTTTATTTCTATACCACCCCACTGCAGAGCTCTCAGAGGAGACAAGTGTTGAGGGGTGTTTTGCAACATAGGGTGACACGAATTCATGAGACAGAAATAAGATACCAATGTCCGAAATGCTTAGGAGACCATGGCAAAAAAGGAAAAAAAAAAAAAAGGTGCATGTACATGCAATATACTTTTCTAAGGCAATTTATTAAGTGTTAGATGATTAGATTATGAGGAATTGTAGCTAAGTACTGTTAAGAGCAGTCTTTTGTATGCAACTGCGGTACCATCTGGGAATATTCTTCTGCACTAAGCCAGACATTCCAAGCAAAGAAAAAAAAAATCCAACACTTCTGTTTCCTTTTGAAATTTGCTGGATGTCAGCTGATGGTTTATATAGCTTTCATGAAAGAACAGGCTGTTAGATACAACATTATTTAAATATGCACAGCTTCGAGGAATAATATGGAAAGTCAGTACATCAGGCATTATATTAGGGTTATTAAAAAAAAGTGAGGAAATGTATATTTGCGCAGAGACTAATCAAGGTTTGATCATTTCATAAAATTTAGAGTATTTTCCTAGCCAGCCCCTCAAATGCATACATAATTAT